GCTAAATTACTAACTAAAATGAACAAATTAGGGATTAAAGGAAATCTTCTTTCGTGGTTGACTTCTTATTTGCATGATCGGTATATGACTGTGAGAGTTGGTCATCGTTACTCCAAAAAATACTTCTGCACTAGTGATGTTCCACAGGGTGGTGTCTTAGCCCCCTTGCTTTTCCTAATTTACACCCTTGACCTACCTTCTACTTTGAAGACTTCCGCTAGCGTACACATCCGAATGTATGCTGATGACATAAAGATTTTTGCAGTCTATGATCCGGAAGTAGCTCCAGAGATTCAAATGGACTTGCAAAGGTCTCTTGATAATTTGACCAATTGGTGTGAGGTCTGGGAATTAGCGTTAAATTTTGACAAATGCTCAGTGCTTCATCTTGGAGGTGGAAATACTACCTCGTATCACATCAAAGGCTCTATATTGAAGAGTTGTGATACTGTTAGAGATTTGGGTGTCGTGATTGATACAAATCTTAACTTCACTGAGCATATCAATACGTTAGTCAAAAAAGCTTATTCTTCACTCTTTCTGCTTTTCCGCAATACTAATGCTAGTTCTCCGAAGATACTTATATCGCTTTATATAGCATTAGTTCTTCCTCATTTAGAATACTGTTCTCAGGTCTGGTCCCCCTTTCGTAAAAAGGATATTCGCAGAATTGAAAAGGTTCAACAGCTTTTTACACGACTGTTGTATAGACGTTTATCGCCCGGAACCACCCCTCCCGATTACCAGACCCGGCTTGAGAGGTTTCATATGAAATCCTTAACAAACCGTCGTGCTTTCTTGGGTCTTGTATTCTGTTTTCAAGTTCTGAGAAGAGAGAACAAGCTAAAAGCCAGTAAATACTGGATTTTTGTTCCTACAAGCGAAAGGTCAGGCTCTTTTAACTTGCAATATCCAAGAATCCGGCGCAAGAGATACTTGCTGATGTTCAACAACGTGTTCTACAGGTCGGCTAGGTGGCTTTCGCACCTCCCAGTTGAGACCACTAGTGCAGAGAGTAGTCATATTTTCAGGAGTAGACTGAGAAGGTTTGACTTGTCAAGTATCGCTAACACTGATTAGTGTTGCATGACAGGGCGAGCCTTCTGCATTAGACCTTTTGGGCTTCCATTGGGTGCTTTGGACGTGCTATGATGGCGGATGGAATCGCTTTGGGCTTTGTTTTCTATCACCTTTCTCCATTTTACCTCTGAAACCTGTCTTTTCAGGTGCTCGGTGATCTTGCATTGACTTGCGGGTTCAGTTGTGGCTGTAAATCATTTCTTTGACGCCTCTTGTGTATCTCCTCACGTTGCGTCGTCGTCGTTTCGTCGTTTCTTTTATTTTTGGTGTACTCGTTGTTCTAGTTACTAACACAGTTTCATCAGCATCTCAGTCCGAGTCTTTTTCGTTCAGCTATCTAGTAGTCAATCGTACAGCTTGCTATTTCAACAAATGGATTCAATGAGAATCGTTTCACCTTTGGAGTCATTGGGCCTCCCCAGCATTCCGGCTAGGTTGGGTTATGGTTATTATACCTGAGCCAGTAGACCTGCCTTATAAGCCGCCGGATTGCTTTTAAGAGTAACTAAAGATCGTTCCGCTGGCAACGAGGGGGCATGCGTCCCATCTCCATGGATTGAAAGCTTTGGAGTTATAAATCTCATGCCTACATCTGCATACTTATCTATTAGCCTACCAACATATTCAGTGCAAGCTGTTTTATCTTCTCACATTAGTCTGATTAGGATCAGACTCGGACTGACTTGATGATGTCTGCATTTGTTTACATGTCTTGTTCGTTTCCGCTGCATTACTAACTTCTTGATGTGTCTTTTTTTATGGAACGCCTTGAGCGTACAAATGAAATCGCCAAGTCGCGTGAAAGTGGCGATTCGGCCGAACCGGGAGGTATGCCTTAGGCTTTACATTTTTGTTTTTGTTTTCCGATTTTCCACATAGGGGTCACCCTATGTAACAATAAAATAAAATGAAAAAGAGAAATAAAATGTACCCTTTGACTCATCTGGATTGGCGGCTGGAATGCGGGACTTCGTAATCTAGTTGAGGCTAGAGAATGATCAGTGAGCGCACGCGAGAAAGATGCAGACTGCGTCGCGAGCGCGAAGGGCCTTAGTTAGGTCACAAAACCACGCCTTCCAGCCGCCAATCTAGTTGAATCAAAGGTTAACTTCATAAAATTGTCCCAGATTTTCGAATGGCACTAAGATGTTAGGGATGTGCAATTGAGTAGAGTGTCCGGTTGCGGATTGCTACACGAGTATGCTCCGCATTTCCCGCAGGTTACCAAGCAATCTTGTTAGACATAAAAATTCCTTTCTATTTTTTGTTCAAGAAAACTCACCATCAGCTGCGTTCTGCAGGAATCTTTATTATAGTCGGTTAGATTTTTGAAAATTTCACCACAACGACCTTCTAGTCGATCTATCGCAGCCTTCCTTGCTTCAAATTAGGTATTTAGATGATAGAAAAGAGGATGCATAGCAGCATTTCCGGACTTACTCCAGGGAAAACATTACCCTAGCCATTTATAGGCGTCGAACAGGTGTGAAAATATGAGGCTAACCATTGTTTCCGTAATGTATCAACACCTCAATAACTAACAAAGCAGCATAACAATATTGCTTATGAACAAACATAGTTGAGCGAAATATGCTGAAGCGGTTGAGCGTACTGAAAATTTTCTGCAAATATGAAGCTATTATGCAAAACAAGTATGTCTTATTGTAAATAAAATTTCAAAAAACGAAATCGCATCAGGACTGTATGGGAAAGATACTCGCCAAACCAATGGAAAATGCAGGACATACGGCACCGCTTATTATTGAGGCCTTCACCACTCAGACACTTGGAGCGTGCGGCGCACGCGCGTTTATGGTCAATGCGGCAAAGCGCGTGCCTTATTTGTGGGCGTGTTCTATCCTAGACATTCGGTGCGTGCGGCGCGCGTAGAATTGGTCAAACCGCGACCCGTGCACTGGGTTTATGCTCGACCTCGCGACCCGCACGCCTAATTTTGTAGCAAGCCGCTCGCGTGCCTTTATGCTCTATCCGTGCGGACCGCGTGCCTGCAATTATCACAAGCTGTAAGCACAAGGGATAACCGCGTAGGGTACGACGCAGTGTTTAGGCTGCCCCATCATTCAAAAGGTTAGATATTACTTTATTTTTAGGTGTATAAGCCGCACCCTTCTCGCTCTAAAGGTGAACACGCCAAAAGACTAACTGTCGTCATGGAGCGCGTTAAGTGAGAGCAGTATGCGATAAGGCGACCGCTTCGCGAGACATATGCGCGGCGGCACGCCTGGGTCTGCTCGCGTTTAGAGCAAAAAGGGTGCGGCTTATACACCTGAAAATAGGGTGCATCTTAGTGTCTGAATAGTCGTGGAAGTAGAAGTTGTTTTTTGCTTCCAAGCATTAGCCTGTAGTATTGCGAATGATTACTGGATCTGCATTTTTGGATTCAAATACGAATTTATATTTTTTGGAGTATGAAGTGTGGAATTCATTATCAAGACCTGCGTATACAGCGCAACGAAAAACTGAAAAAATGCAGCCATCCGCGGGCCAGCACCAGCGGCGCGGCATCCAATGTCCCGCCATTCGCGCACTGGGTGTTGCGCCACCCTGTGACTACGCGCGCGCTGCACGCTCCACCTGTCTGAGCAGGCGACTTCAGTCGTGACGTGGTTTGGCAACTCTCCAAGTACCCATTACTTATCGCGTGCGCATTCTAAATGGGCAGAAGCAATCTATATTCTACAGACTAGGCATGCATTTGCGGTCCGTCAGTGTTGGATTTGAAGACATCTGGCAAGTTGCCAGGTTGCTTGGCGACTGAAATCGCGTGAGGTATGGACAAGGCCCAAAGCGTCTGACAATAAGTAATGCTTGACTTCTATTTTCTTCTATGTTCTTCTACGCACCTCAAAAGATTCTCCTTTTGGCCTTCTTGCTTCGAATGCAAAATTTGACCCCTTTTCCGTTTACGGGGTTCGCTAAACCTAACTTTAAAGCAAAGAAATAGAATTTTGCCAAAGAAGATAGTGTTAAAAGTCCGGACCAATCAATTTTTCGGTTTTCCTGGTGGCACAAAAATTGGGTTTTTTGATTTCACCATTGGAAAACGGAAACAGCTTCGGGTTTTTCTATCATTAGATGCCCCGTGTCTATTCTCTTTGTGTACGCAGCATAAATTCGGCCACAGCTTTAAGAGAGATTTTTTATAGCACAGAAGTACAGCATGCAAGTTGCGTTGAGATTTCTCAGTTTGAAAATTAATAAAAATATCCTTTCACTGTGCATCCTATCGAACATCGTGTTCCCGCAAAGGTACGCTTTTTCAAAATGAAAAAGCTCCGCTATTTTCAGTGGATTTCGAGGAAGGAAAGTGTGAAGAAAGAAAATTTCTAGAATTTCAAAATTTAGTTTCTCGTTGGTAAACGTTACATCTGAAGGAACTTTCTATAAAAACGAAAGCATGCATAAAAAGAATATAAGGGCTTCAAAATGCTTTACAAAGGTCTACGCAAGAAATGCTATCCTTTTCGACACCAGCAATTCAATAACCGAGGTCTACAAAGCTACATTAATTGTGCTCCACCCTTCTTAAAATGAGGATTTCGCAAAATCTTGACAAATGTCGATTTGAAGTTCTGGGATTTTCCGAGCATTTTAAAAAAGAGCGTCAAAATTTGAGTCGAGATTGGAAACTTCGAAACATTCGACTATTCAACCATGTTTAGATCGCAAGAAACACGACCTACCCCACCGTCCTACCCCGTGACAATGACTAAACTTTCAATCTGTTTCCCAATAAACCTTTTTGTCTTTATCAAGAACCACAAGTCGGCAGTTAAGCATCCAGTACCCTTTCATTTGTAGTTCGTTAAGTCTATAGCTGCTTGTGGGTTTCTAATGGCTTCATCTTGAAGGCTTATCATGACACCGATCCTAATAAGTATCTCAAATTCAGCTATACAATGTGTATCAATCGCAAGAAATCGCTGAACAGCAATCCTAAGGAGCAAAAGCCACAGACAAGCGCATCATCGAATGTTGAAAGTCAGAAACCAAGCCCCCAAAGTGTTGCGGCAGCCAGTAGTTTGCCAACGAAGGAAAAGGAGAAAGAAGTCGAGAAAAGTTCTGACGTAGCGGAGAATACGCCAGTAAAACCAATGGAAAAAGTGAGAGTGACTTAATATCTTTACATGGTTGTTATAGCATTTCTTAGGAGCAAGTGAAAGGTCAGTGATTTTTCAATTGAGGAGATCGTGAGTAATAGAATAACGAAAATTTTTGATCGAGTGTAATGGACTAGATATTCTATCAAAAATATCATTTTTAGAAGAAAAGCCAGAGGAGCCGCTTCATATCAAAGTACCGCCGCCTCGCATCCTGTAAGAGTTCAGATTTACTTTAGTTTTTACAGCTAACAACTTGCAACGAAATTTTGCTACAAGTGGAAAAACCTCCATGATCTTTTGAACGATTTCAATCCGATTTCAATTTTTTGAACTATGTGAAGAGGTTTAACTTCTCGATAAACAAATGTCGCATATGAAAAATCCAACTTTGAGCTAATCTTTTTGTTTTCGAATTATTTTTGACATTATTTGGACTTACGCCATTCAAAAGTTCCATCGAGCTTTAGTCCCAGTGCTCTCCGAAGTCTACAAAAGTCTTTTGACCGGAAAAGGAGTTAGAGGATTCTTGAAAAGTCTAGAGGTAGAGCTCAAAGTACCGCTACCCAATTACTTTTAGATTTACCGTAACTCACACGGAAGTGATGTTGGAGCCAAAAAGCCCTTCTTATATGCCAAGTACGAAATTTCGGCAAAGTTCTTAATTTTTCAGAAGAAGATGAAGGAAGTCTTGAAGACTTGTGACCGCTTAAAAGTTCAACTAGCGCTTTGCCATAACTCCACTAAAGATCTGGAAAGAGGAAAAATTTTTCCACATTTGAGACTGCCGCTGTAAATTATATATAGATGTTGGCAGAGGCCCGAGAAATTTTCTTTTGAGGAAGAGGGGGGGGGAGGACGCGACACAAAGTTTCTTGAATATAAAAGTGTGTCGTTAGCTACGCCCTCCGGTAAAATCCTTTAGATGAAAATTTGAGCAGGCATTTGATAGAAGAGGGCTACAGCGATGCTTCCATAAAAAATTTTTACGTATGATTACTGAAATATCCATTTGAAACAAGTAATCGCGCAGTTTTATATCTCAAACGGAGCACTTTTGAAGGTGTCGGGAGAAACGAGGGACGTATAGTAGACGTAGAGCGGATAAACGACATAATAATGAATTTTCGAGTCATTTTGGCTCTCTAGACAGCCCTAATCGAAATTTTTCGAAAATGTTATACATCCGAACAATTCAAAAAGGACATGAAAAACTTGGAAAAACAAAAAAACATTTCAACAAGCTTGCTATATTTGAAATTGGTGCTGCTTTTGCAACTGACCAATGATTTATGCTTATCAAACCAATTCTCATTATTAGTGACACAAAGTTTTGAAATAGTAATTAGGTCCTCACGCTCATATATGAGCACTTTTGAGAACAAGATTTCAGTATTTCACGTATTTAATCATTCATTCTCAGCCTACTTATATCATTCTACGAAGCTAATAATCATTTGCAGGAAAGCAAAACGCTCGCCGAAAGAAGTACGTGCTAGTGATCCGCAGTACAAAACCCTCGAGTTAGACTTGAGCGATTGGGACAGCGTGAAGATTATCAAGAAAAGTGAAGCCAACTTGGATGAAATCTTGAAAAAAGACGTGGCATTAGAAGGCACGCAAATCAGTGTTTCTGATCTGCAATAAGTTTAAAAAGTTCATAGTGTCATTCATGCTATTATCCTTACAATTATATCATAATTAACTGTCTCACAAGTTTCTAATAAAGTTTGAAATCCTTTCTTAGACAGTGGTATACAAGAGTACACATAGATACTTTCCCAGTCCACGAGTAAGACATCAAAAATTTTATAAGGTTCATATAAAAAAACTACCTTTCCAGAGCCCCTGAATATCGTACCTTTCATTAGTATTTATTGCCTGAGAAACTTCAGACATCAATCGAAATGCGAAGAGATATGATAGGTGCATGAGGTGAGCACAAAGGAGAATCCAGTTCCCCTATAATTTCTATGAGAATATTTTTCTGTACTATTTTGGAAAATAAATCTTGATTATTTTTCTCAGCCATCCACCCTTCCCGCAACTTTGAAAGCTGAAGGGTTTTGCAGAGAAAATCGATACGTAAACTTTTTGCCGACAGTGACTAAGAGGCATTACGCCAGTGTCCAAGCGTCAGCTGATGAAATCTCATCGAATCTAAGATATACAGAATGTCCCAAAAGTATGTATACATTGTTTGATCGTTGATATCTCTCTTCCCAAAGAGTCTTTTGCCTCCCTCCAAACACCATTTTTTAGAGCTGGCTTCAGCTTAGATTTACACTATGGAGCGAATTACGGAACGTTCTTCACTACTGTAAGATTACGGTAGGAACTTTCAGCTTATAGCATCATTACGGATTTACCGTGTTTTAAAGAAAGCTTCCAAATAATCTGAAAGTGGTGTACTAGGGTTTTCAAGCTCTCTGATATTATTATTCATCTTCTAACGGGTTTCCAAAATAGTGTAAGCATGATTTTATGGAGTCTTGTAAAAGCAGCTATTGCGGTCTACTTGGCATAACTTATGATGGACGCATTCGGTAAAGTACAAACATCACATTTGGTTTTAGCGGCTTGAACTGATTAGTACAAAAGTTTTCTGGCTGTTGGGCTTGCCTTCGAAGGCGAAATAAGGCCCTTGATGTCTCACCATCCTTCTTGAATTTTCTACCGTAATCCTACAGTAATGAAGAGCGACCGATGATTTGTTCTATACTGTAAATCTAAGTTGAAGCCAGCTCTACAAAATGTGCTTAGAGGTAAGCAAAAAACTTTTTGGAAAAGAGATATCATCGATCAAATGTATACATACTTTTGGGGCACCCTGTATGCTTTGAATCATTGCCCAGTATCGTAATCGAATGCAGAGTAGTGCCTGAGAAGATACGGTAGTGGAAGAGAGGTCAAATTTCTCATCCGCAAACGAATTTGTGTGAGTCTTTATAAAAGTGGTTAATTAAAGTTTCAAAAGTTAAAGCAATCCGAGAACCCTTTTGTACACTACCTTTAACGAACAATGCTGATTTACTGGTAAAAACATTACGAGAACAACCTTTTTTAATCAGTGCCTGAGTAAACCAGCGACAGTTTCAATTAATAATGTTCTAGTGGGTGACGACTTTTGCGCATAATTTAGTCCAGTCGTTGTTGTGCTGATAGAAAGTTACATTCTCTCTGCGCAGCTTCAGATTCACTGCTCACTTTCTTGGAACATTCAAAATACACAATAAGCTAACAATCTCAAGGTGATAATGCGGTATCGCCGCCAAGTTTCGCATGGACTGATGAAGCGGCTTTTAGAACAAAATGCATGTTTTTGTAAGATATCATCACTGAATGCTATGAGATTTTTCCTTTACAAGTCATGCAGTCGTCTCAGGCCGATTCTTTCTCATTTTGGCTGTAACTTACCCAAGTTTTGTTGAGAAGGTAAATATCCTCGTGGATACCTCACGGATAATCGAAGATCCGCTGCAGTGTGGCCGAATGGCTAAAGATCGCTGTCGTTAGCCGGATGCTCGTGAGATCAACTCCTGCCAAACTTTAAGCTCTTTCGTCCGTTGGCGTTCAGGGTGTGGAAATTGGCAAATACCAAGCATAGTCTCGAAAAGCTTCATAAATGCATTGAATTATGTGGTGTGTAAAGGCTATGACATACATATTTGGTAAAAAGTTGTGGTTTAATCTGGTCTTTGCTGGATTCCTGCATTTTAAAAATTAGAAGTAAAAAATGAAATTAGTTTGATCAAAATTATACATTGCCTACAAAGAAGCTGAAAGTAATTTGGTTTTAGCCAAGTATTTCAGTTCTAGATCCCATCATCTAGCGCAAATTTTCTATATAGCTAAAAAAAGATTTTTCTGGGGTATTTTTTTATTCTGTTAGATTTGAAAGAAGAAAAATCTACATTTTGAGAGGTTCGTCCACTTTTTGATGAGAGAGCTTATCGACGCAATGTTATTGGGGAATTTAATACCTCAAAATTTTCGCCTTTTCAAAAGCTATATGTCGCTGTTGTGTGATAGAGCAATTTCCAGCAGGCAAATAGTGAGGGGGGGGGGTTAGAAAGGAAAATGAAAGATTTGAAAATTGAGGAACGAAATTTACTTTCCTATCGTGATACTGTTGCAACAAGGTATATTATAAGCATCACAATAAAGGCTATCACAGTTAGACTATGCTTTATCCCTGCGTATGTTCCCCTGCACCCCCCCCCCCCCCTCGCGTATGTTTTTCGACAACAAAGTGATATCAAAAGTATTTTGCCTTTTCCGAGAATGGGTGAGAAAAGAACAAAATACGATTCGGACCTGTATATCAGGTAGTGGAACAGAGCGCGTTCACAAACGTGAAGCATAATTCCAAAGTTGTATTAATCGACATAAGCAGAATAATATTTCCCAAATATTCTTAGAGTTTTGGAATTCCTAAAATTGAGCATTTTCATTATAAGAGATTTTGAGAACAAAATTATTTTCAACTCAATTTCAAGTTTGTAAGATTAAGCGATATAGTAAGAAAAGGAAATAATCAAAAGAATCATGTGAATGAACTGCGTGCACATTTCAAGTTTCTATATACTTCTGTATGTTGAGATGTCAACATAATTGTTCCATTTCCTCTTAACTTTCCTGTTTTTTCGGAGACAAAAGCGAAAGGGGGCTATAAAATCTGATAAACAGTGACGTAGTGTTGTCACAAGATAATTCGTCATTCGTGGAATGCTAAAGTCAGGGCTTAGCAGAGGTGGCGCTTTTACACGCTGGATGTCGTTTTCTTAGAGGAAAACAAAAGGGAACTCGTAGAGTTTCCAGGAGTGATTTGCGGAAATCTGACCAAATAATAGCGGGCGAAAGTTAACCTTTAGTAAGCCCTTAATTCAACTCTGACGTCATTTCACAAGTAACAGGTGGAGTAACACGTTACAAACAGGATAAGTGCTCAGGCCTGTGTGCACACGATTTCAACGTGTTAAACACAATCCTCATGCATAGAAAAATAAATAATCAGTTTGTTTATCAGCAAAATCAGTAAGCAAAATTGAGCCATCACAGGTGTGTAGCTTCGCGACCACGATCAAAAAGAAAGTACGAAAAATTATGAAAAAATTATGTGAACGAAAAAAGTTGTAAATATTCTAATTTAGGTTGCTCCCGCGCAGCCTGGGAGCACCCTGAGGTTGCGCGAAGCCGAACAAGTCATAATTTTCTCCCTTCTTTACATAATTTTTCACAATTTTTCACATAAATCTGTTCTTCAGTTCACACTCTAGCTATGTATACTTATCTTAACCCGAATTTCATCTTCTCTGCTTTGCGGCCTTCAAGTAATAGATAAACCGCTTTTTTTCACGTGTTGATCTTTTATCTCCGATTTTTCTTGTTTATTCTTGACTTCCATTCACTTATAGTTCGCTGCAGGTTATTAGCCGTATTTCTGTGAACACCACCAAAACGTGACTCGTAATCTTCTGCAATTTCAAGGGGAACTTCGTTTTCAAAATTCTCAAACACCACCTCGTGCTGGGTCCTGGCTAAAGTGTTGTTAGGCTGATGAGCCAAACTGCTAACCACAGATAACACCATCACGTTGTACAAACTATTTATTTTAAAGAGAAGCAATTTTGAAGATCTTTATGGGTAGCAAAAAACCAAAGAGAAATTAAGATCATGTATACAACGTACAGTACCGCTTACACAAAGTATAGTATTTCCGAGAATTTTGCGACGTTCCTGAAATTCTGCGAGATTTACGGAAATTTTGCACTTTCTGTAAGCGGGATTCTCCTTGAGGTAAATAAGTCGACATTCATATCTGGTATAAGGCAAAATCATGCAAAATCTACCACCATTTACATGAGAGCATACATCAACAAGTATATTGCTGAATTTAGGAGAAGTGAGTTAATAATGCAGTAATCATAGAATGTGCGGGAATCCGTCGGAAACAAGTTATTTTTCTTACGTAGGATAAAAGTAATAATTTTACATTTTGAAGATCGTGACGTAACAAATAGAAAATGAGGTTCCACAACAATGTTTTCTCCGTAAAGAGGATCAGAAACGAAGAATTACGCGTCATTGCTACTTACAGTGCTGATGATACATACAATGTGTCCAAAAAAGGTGTGCGCACTGTTTGATCGCTAATAACTCTCTTGCTTTGATATCTTGCCAATCTTTTTACCTTTATGTAGAGATGGCCTCAGCTTAGATATATAGCATGGAGCGAAATTCTGATCTTCCTTCCTTATGGAACGATTACGGTAACAATCAGGCCATTGAGAGCCATGTTGTGCCCTAGAATTGGAACCAGACAAGCCAAAGATTCTTATATACTAAGTTAGTCAAAGCCGCCGATTTCAAATATGAAATTTTCAATTTCTATGATGTTTCTTTCTTAGTTATTCCAGGACCGTAACAACTTTTTTTTTCCAACGCTTGTCAATGCCATTACACCGCAAAAAAGCTTCAAACCAAAATGTGTGTTGAAATTAGCATGAGTGAAAACCCTAATACATATTGCGGGGTTTTCTTTTAAAAAAATACCGGAAGGTCTCTTTCATGGTTCCATATGCTGGAAGTTCTTACTGTAATCCTACAGTAACAAAGAGAGATAGGAAATTTGCTTCATAATGTTAATCTAAGCTTTGATGCCCGCTCTACAGGGTAACAGTAACGATTAGGCAAAAGGCATTGAAACAAGAGAGTTATTCAATGATCAAACGGTGTGAGCATCTTTTTGGGACACCCTGTATTTGGAGACTATTCATATGATCGGAAAGAATGGTTGCGGTAGCATTCCAATTTGTGCAGGCCATAATGGACCCTGTCTAGTTAGCCCCCGCAGAGGCCATTGTTGTTGGAATTCTGGCGGAATCTTACCTTGAGTAGGCCTTGGTAGAATTTTACCTTGATCAGGCCACTGCTGCCCATCTTTCACTTCATCTTGCGCCGGATCATCTAGTAAACCAAGATAACTAGACATTTGTAAAAATTTCGGAGGATCCTTCTCGGAGGCTTCTAGCATCGCGTATGCAAATCTCATGGCTAGCTGATGGCGAGTTTCGGGATTTCTTGCCAGACTGAAAAACGAAATAATGAGAAGGGGATCGTAAAAGAAAAGCAACCTTATAGACCTACTTGTACATTCCCTGACTGAAGCTGAAATCTGCAGCTGGCGACAAATCAGCCTTATTTCGCAATGGTGGCCTTCTATCTAGCTGTGCTGGTTCGTCAAGCAATCCTAGAAATCCAGCCATCGTTACAAATCCCCTTGAGTCCTTTTCCATTGCTCGCATTGACTGCTGTAGAAAGTTCAACCAAAGCATGTATCGATTGCTTGGTTTCCTCCCAATCTGCCTAAAAAATAAAGTAGTAAGATGTACCAAAAACAGTGTAAACTCACTGTTGCATTTTTCCATCGAAGCTTCTGACCGGAGCAGGTGACAGGAGTGCGAAAATATAGAAAAGAGCGAATAAATTAGTGTTCATTTTCCTTCAGTGATGGAAAAATACGACTTTAAATACAACTCCGTAGCCTGTGCATGTTTTTTAGAAGAAGTGATGACTACAATAAATTCGTTGCGTAATCTGACAAATGATTTGCTCAGCACGAATCGTAACTGACATGCACTAACATCATGAGCTGACGTTCCGCGATTTTGTCAAGGCTAGCGTGACGTAGCGAATTCCAGCAAGACCTTTTTATATTACCGAAGAAAAGAGTGTTCATTGCTGTTTTGTTTCGTCAACTTTTGCGCACAAGAAAGAGTATCCAAATCAAGGATGGAGGTCGAATTTTTTAGAGTTGTGCATTATGAACGAAAGATCGATGCATGTTCACAAACTATATCTTGTCAATGAAGACATTCAGGAGAATCTATATCTAAATATAGAAAGCAGAAAAAATATGTGTGTATGAGTATTTATGTGTTAATGTTTGTATGTGTGTGTATGTGTATATCAGTGGCGTACCCAGGATTTCGGCTCGGGGGGGGGGGGGGCGCGACAAAAAATTTTTTCTAAAGAAGGTGCGTGGCGTTAGCCATTGTAAATAATTAAAATAATTTTTAAAAATTTTTAAAAATTATTTTAATTATTTACAAAAATAAACAAGTCACTTACACATTTTTATAACCCATATAAGTAACTTTCAAAAATTTCGCGACCCATTCTCGGGGGAGGGGCGCCCCCCCCCCCGCCCCCCCCCCCTCGGTACGCCACTGGTGTATATGTGTGTCTGTGTACATATATGTGTACGTGTATATAAGTGTGCATTTGTGCATCTGTGTATGGTGTATGTATGTGTATATGTGTTTAGTGTATATGTGTGTATGTGTGTATGTATATATGTATATGTGTATATGTGTATATATGCAATATGCATATACGTGTGTATCAGTGGCGGTCCCAGGATCTCCGTCCGGGTCCGTCCGAGAGGGGCGGGGCAAAAAATCTTTCAAATGAAGGTGCGTGGCGTCAGCCATGCACTCCGAAAAAATTTTAGGGTGCTTCTTAAATTTTTGCTCCCCAACCAAATCTGGAAAAGGGGACATGGCGTCAGCCACGCCCCAAACTTTTTTTATAAGGCTAATTTGAATTTTTGAAAAATTTTGAAAGTAATTTCAGTAGTTTACACAAATAAACAAGTCACTTGCACGTCTTCATAACCCAGTAAGTGAATTTCAAAAATTTCGTGACTCATTCTAGGGGAGGGGGGGGGGGGGAGCGCCTGCCTCCTCCCCCCCGCTCGGTCTGCCACTGGTGTGTATATGTGTATGTATGTATATGTGTATATGTGTAGATGTGTGTATGTGATGTGTATGTGTGCAAATGTGTGTATAGTGAGTATGACAGTGGCGTACCGAGAGGGAGCGCCCCCCGAGAAGGGGTCGCGAAATTTTTGCAAGCTACTTATATGAAATATAAGAATGTGCGAGTGACTTATTTATACTTGCAAGTTAATAAATAATTTTTAATTTATTTTTTAAATTTTTTAAAAATTTAATTTTGCTTTATAAAGAATTATGGGGGCGTGGCTAACGCCACGCCTCTTTTTTCTAGAATTTTGGGGTTATGGGTACATTTTGAGAAGCATACCAAAAAATATTTCCGAGTGTGTGGTTAACGCCACGCACCTTCATCAGAAAATTTTTTGTTCCCTCTCCCCCTCTCCTCGAACGGAAATCCTGGATACGCCACTGGTATACGTGTGTATATGTGTATATGTTTATATGTGTATATGTGTGCATATGTGTATATGTGTGTATATGTGTACATGTGTATATCAGTGGCGTACCCAGAAATTCACCTCGGAGGTCCAAAGAAGGTGCATGGCGTCAGCCACGCACTCCGAAAAATTTTTTGGTATGCTCCCTAAAATTTTCGCGGGCTCAGAACCTCGAAATCTAGGAAAAGGGGGCGTGGCGTCAGCCACGCTCTCAAAAAAAGTTTTTGTGAGGCAGAAACGATTTTTTTGAAATTTTAACAATTATTTTAATCATTTACAAGTGCAGGCAAGTCATTTGCACAATTTTATAATCCATGCTAGTAACTTTAAAAACTTCGCGACCCGTTCTCGGGGAGAGGGAAGGTACCGCCCCCTGCCTTAGTACGCCACTGGTGTATATGTTATATGTGTGTATATGTGTATGTGTGTATATGTGTGTATGTGTGTATGTGTATAAGTGCATATGTGTGTATATGTGTATATTTTTATATGTGTATATGTGTATATATGTGTATATGTGTATATGTGTATATGTATTAGGTTGTGTAATAAGTTCTGTCCCATTTTTTGTTTCGATTTTTTCTCAATATTTCCCGATGTTTTGTAAACTGTTTATATGCATTTGAAAGCTCTAAGCCTTCTCTACTAAAACTTTCAATTCGGTTTTCTACATCAGATGACATGAAAAAGTTCTACAGCGTCAAATTTGGAATAGCAAACAGGAAAAAGTTCATTTTCGACAACTACGTTACGTCGCCTTCCTAATTAGTCAGATTGCCTACGAATAAGCTCGAAGAATTTGCTACACGTGAGCAAAAAATGCTCTAACTTCTATTGTGCTTCAGGAGTGCTGAAACTTTTCAAAAATCATTTCTGTAGACTTTAGAAATTCTTCTTTCTAACGCCTTTTTCAACGTTGGTGTTGGGCATCATAAAGCATCCTGAGGAAGACGGTAGGCGGATCATCCAGAAACGACAGAAGTGATAGTTTGTGGCTTCAAAATTATCGAATTCGTAGGTTAAATACTCAAAATGCTAATTTTGGGAGCTACACAGCTTGAATACGCGAGACGGCGAACATCGCCGCAACGAAGTCTTGCCTTGCCGACTTCTAAAAAATGTCATTAAGTAGCCGGTGGAAGGAAGTGAACATGCGCAAACAGCGATAGAATAAGTGTAAAAGTCTAATAGATTGTTTTGCTTGTTGTCATGCTCGTTTCATATGTTTCACCAATAAAAATCGAGAAAAATTTGGAGGAAAAAAGATGTCGAAAATTGATTTTTCGGCTCTTTGGATTTTTTATTTCAATGATGAAACCTTTTTCAATTTCCTGCTATGTTGGGTGATGCCTGGTATGAGCCTGTAAAACAGACTTAGAGCTTTCAGCATCGCATTCACTTTATCTCAAATATAGTCAATGTTGGCAAGAAAAAACTAAAACAAAAAATGGGACAGAACTTATTACACGACCTAATATATATGTGTATCTATGTATTAGGTTGGCGGATAAATTCTGTTACACTTTTTTCGTATGATTCTGGAAAGTTCCAGAAGTTTTCTGAAATCTTCAAAGTTGCTCCATATGTAGGCCACGGCATGGCGCATACAACAGTATGACTGATGCCGCAAATGTCCAATTGGCCAACAACTTTACGACAACTTTGTAAGCACAATCGAAATTGCCATTTTTTCTTTGACTTTTTTCTCTGCGTCTGATTGTGTTTTTTCTCTCCCATAATTTTTTAGAACATATTTTCGCATCGTCTCTTTTATGGTAGCACTTTGGCGCCGCTAGCACGCCAAAAAGAAGGAGTAAAAAACAACTCAAAAAAATCAAATGTTGTCGAAAATTTTTCTTTTTGTTTGCATCGTGTAGGGTTTGGTACGAAAAGGTTGAAAATAATTTTTGTAAATTTTTAAAGATTGTCCTTCATGTCAAAATGCCAATGTGCGCTGACGTGACGCAACATGTAGCTCATGTGATCGTGTGCAGACATGATTATGCCATCCCCCTATGTTCGCTAGAAACTATGGATCATACCCTGCTTGAAAACCACATCGCTCGGTCTCTTCCCAATCATCTGGAAGAATGCCAGCACGCTGACAAAAACGTCCATAAAATGTACTCCCACCAATAAGTGAGTGTTTTGCGCACGGACCGCGGATCTGACAGCATCGGCGGGTAGACCTTTGCATTTCGCCAACATTCCTTAGACATAAGAATTTTTGAAAGTTTCTCAGATTTTTAAAAAATAAAAATAAAAGTGTACAGAAATTATCCGCCAACCTAATATATGTGTATATGTGTGTTGTGTACATGTGTATACAGGGTGTCCCAAAAAAATGTACCTACTGTTTGACTGTAAATATCTCTCTTGTAGTGAAGTCTTTCAAGAAGCTTTAGGCACCTTCTTGTAGAGCGAGGTTAAACTTCGATTCACAGTATGGCATTGATCGCTCTTCATTACTATGCGATTACGGGAAGAACTTCCAGCATACGGGATTGTGAAACAAACATACCACCCAACAAAACTTTTTTCAAAAAATTTGGAAAATCGTGTACTAGGGTTTTCGCGCATGCTGATTTCATCTAACAGCTTTTTACGAGTGTTTTCAGCTTTTTTGACGGAGTAATCACATTTTCGACAAGTATTAGAAATTCAATATTACACTCTACCTGGGATAACTTTGGAAAGAAGCATCACAGTAAAGTGGAAGTTCTAAAATCAAAATCAGCGGCTCCCATTACCCGTAGCATAAGAGTTTTTTGCTTGTTTGATTTTGTTCCGAGGCAGAATATAGCCTCCAATGGCCTAAAATGCTTGCCGAAGTTCGTACCGTAATCCTACGCTAATGAAGAGCGATCGATGATTCGCTCCATGCTGTAAATCTAAGTGTGGTGTGTGTGTGTTGTGTGTGTTGTGTGTGTTGTGTGTGTTGTGTGTTTGTTGTGTGTGTGTTGTGTGTGTTGTGTGTGTGTTGTGTGTGTGTGTGTGTGTGTGTGTGTGTGGTGTGTGTGTGTGTGTGTGTTCCGAACAGAATTTCTATTTCTGAACCGATCCGGATTCAACCTGTCCAGCGACACGACATATTGAAAACCCAAATTCAAAAATTCACAGCTCGGACTGTTGAAACGCCGAAATCGGATAAATCGGATAATCGTTTGAATAATATTTCGAGATAACGTCCAATATTTGTTCGTTGAAACGCATTCCAAATTGCTCGTTTTTATCCTTTTATCCGACGATGGATTTCGGCCGTAGCAAATCTTTGTTTTTCCGAGTGCTGAGCGCCTTACGCTTTCCCCGATGCGGCTTCCTCAGATCTAGTATAGGCGTTCCATGCGTATAGCGGGCGTGGCCGTGCAGACATTTGAGCACGTTAAAAACTTGTTAACCTCCACTCTAAAGCATTAGTTTTTGTGTTTTTGTGTTTTTTTCTCTAGCTGCCAAAAACTGCCACGCGCATACGTTGGCAAACGTCGGCAAAGCTCCGCCCGCTATACTGTGGGGGAAAGAACGATACCAACATTGTTAGTCAAGTTAGATATAAATGTACTTTTAGGGCAAGACGATGGTAAGCGGATCCTGTAAAAAGACTACGCTTTGCAACTTCGAAATTTACGACTTCTCCCTTCATCGTTCCAACCGCTTAATTGATTCAATTAAGCGCGCTTTCTAGATAGACAAAGCGAGACTCATGCTATTTCGCTCCAGCAAAGAAAGTAGGAGGAAGCTTGGAAAACCGAATTTAGGAAACAATAGTCATCATAACTTATAATAACGGGCTAAGGATGTTTACGTGACTTTGTGTGTGTGTGTGTGTGTGTGAGTGTGTCTGTTACGAAATTCGTAGAGCGTGTCCCAGCCGACCTCCTGGGCTCAAATTTTGCACATTGCATGCTATTCGCATGAAAGTCCAACATGCAAAAGCACGAGCAGATTCGTTCAGTGGATCCCTCAGAAATTGCGCGCCAAACGGGTCCACCTGGCTTCTGTACCGCAAAATTCGGTCCGTATCATTACTTTTTGCAGAGTCGCGGATGAGTTTGGTAAGCAAATGTGCAAGCGCTAGAGCTTAGCCGGAAAAGTGGTCGAAAGTTTACTACATAACGAAAACGGCGCCAGAAAGAATTGGTTGTGTAAATGGTCAATTTGCCAAGGTTCTAACTAAGCGTTTGAGAAGATTTTCACACAGAGATATAGCTCACGGTTACTATTACTTCTATGGCGACTATCAAGCCATGACAGATCCGAAAACCTATTCAAATTTGCGTTTTTCTTCCTGCGAAAAGTTTCATCCACGCGAAATCACCGATCTCACGTGAAAAAACTTTCTAAATGAGTGGTTGTTTACATTCTATTCGTGGTAGTCGGCATAGCGCGGTGAGTTCCAGTGCCACGATTTTACGAGAATGAGTAAGGCACATAGATAGTAGAGCCAGTGCGAGCCTCTGCGAAGCAGAGGTGACGCACTGGTAAAATATAACATGTTTTGTAAGAATTATGAAAAATTATAAGTTTTGCCACCCTCAGGCGTGGCATAGGGCTAGAGTTACAATTGCAACCTAATTCAGGTAGAAGCTAAGCACGCTTCTCATTAGCATAAGTTTTTTATATTGTGCTCTGTCCCCTTTCCGCACAGCGCATGTATACACCAAGTTTGGAGTCATATTGTCGCGTGTAAGTTGCAAACGAATCACTTATCCAATTTTTATTAGAGGGATCTTTTTAGTAAAAAGTTTATAACACCTTCCTCACACACTTTTCACAAGTTTTCTTGTTGCCTGTTTCTTCTAGCTGCAGTCCTTCTACCTCGCACCGAAATTGATAACCTAATCTTATGTGTGCGGTGTAATCCTTGGTCACTAATTATGCAAAGATTTGGTTTTGGAATGGCGTCCCAAACACGGTTAGTTAGAATACCAATCGTGTAGTAACCTGGTCGTCACAGGGATGGACGTGTATAAGAGATACGTGTAGCATATGAGCGCGTATTTGCGATATCCCATTTGCATTTTCAGGAAAATGCTCAGCTTGACGTTTGCTGACCTTCGTGTCGCACCCTGACTTATCGTTGTGTTTGTTATATAAATCAAAATAATCTCTTGATTGTTGCTGTAGATGCACGTTCGTTATGGTAGAAGAAAAGGACGCATTGCTATAATCATAATTGTTGGGATTACCATCTTAACAGTTTACATAAGCTACAAGGTCTGTAATTTATTCTCCACTTTTCGCACTTTTTTTCTCAAATTACAGAGTGGAGCCAATCTTAAAAGATATGGCAACGAAAACGACGGAAATACCGGCACTGGAGACATATTCACAAGAGGAGAGATGATTGCCACGGTAGGTGTGGAAGCATGCAAAGCCAGCCCTCACAACAATGAAGCAGCTGAGTTTGACGTATGTTCGGATTTCTGCTCAAATTGTCATGGTATGCAATGAGTTCCAGATGTTAACCGTCTACCGTGAACAAGTGGCTCAGCAGGGGATCATGTTTAACAGAACCAATCAAGGCAGGCGGCATCCATCCACACATAAATTAAAAGTATTTGTGCTACCCTTCACACACGCTGATCCAGGTAATCGTTTTAACGAAACTCTAAGTTTACGTGTGATTTTTAAAATTATTCTGAGTTTAGGATGGCTACAAACCTTTAATTCCTACTTAAAAGAAACGGATGCTATCCTAGACAACATGCATAACTTCATGACCTCTCATGCAAACATGACATTTATGTGGGCAGAGCTAGCTTTCTTCGAAAGGTGGTGGGGGAAGCAGAGCCTCGAAGTACGCGAAAATGTTCGCAGGTGAGCCGGCTCAGTCGTTGAATTAGTCTAATGCAGCTATGCAGATTAGTGCAGTCTGGCCGATTAGAGATTGCGTCTGGCTCGTGGGTGATGACCGATGAGGCCAATGTCTATTATCCCATTACGGTTGATACTATCATCGAAGGACACCAGTTTCTTAAAGAGGAACTTGGTAAGTTTATATAATAGGTCGTCCCGAAAGTTCTTTCGCACCAAATTCAAAAATTCATAACTTGTTGATTTCCCAACGAATCTGCAAGATCTAAATTTTGTATCATGCTCTATGTAAGTGTTCTTAAAGTGTTCGTTAATGTGTACAAATGAAGGAGATAGAAGCTCAAAACCAAAATCACTTAAAATTTGAATTTTTCGTGTAGGGTCATAAAAAATCGGAAACTTGCAGCAAAAATCGGAGCAGTCAGTATTGTAGGCTCTTTCACAAGCTCTTTCCGATAGTGCAAAGTTTGCGCCGATTGAGCGTCTCTGTAAAAAGTTATGAATTCCCTGAAAAATGCCAAAATAAATCAAATTTGCCTTTTTTACTGCTTGCTCGAAAATCATAACTTATCATAGAGACGCTCAATCGGCGCAAACTTTGCAATTTTAGAAAAAGCGGATAAAAGAACCTACAATATCGACTGCTCCGATTTTTGTTGCAAGTTTCCGATTTTTTATGAACCTACACGAAAAATTTAAATCTTGAGTGATTTTGGTTTCGAGCTTCTATTTCCTTCATTTGTACACGTTAACGAACAGTTCAGGGACGTAAGCAAAGAGCATGAGTTTCTCTTTTATATAGAATTTAGACCTTGTAAATTCATTGAGAATTCAACTAGTTATGAATTTTTGAATTTGGCGCAAAAGAACTTTCGGGACGACCTAATACCTACCAATTGCCTTACAAGGTAACTGCAACAAACCGCTTAATGACCGGGAATGTAGTCAGGGCCCGGCACAGATTGTCTGGAAGCAGGCTGGACTTCTTTATTGAAGCAAAAAGCAAGAGAAATCATTTGACGTGTCGGGGACGAGCACCAAGAATAAGCGCCATTTAGTCAAATACAGGCTTTTCGGACAGGTTATCACACGACTGACATGCTCTGTCGTGTATGGCGAAAAGTGCGCGCGATTTGAAAGCAAGGCCAATATAAAAGAAAAATTTGCCTGCTTACAGCGCACACAAAATCATATGACATCAAAATTGAACTGTATACATAGAAAATTATTTGCAAAAGAGTATGCATAAAGATTTTAAAACTTTTGTGAATATTACCTTTTCCAAATTTAGTCCGTCTCCAGACGGTCACCAGACGATCTGAGATCGTTTGGAGCATATATTTCAGTCATTTCACCTAAATTCCGGATTTTTTCACCATGGGTGGATTCTCCGGTCGAAAATCTATAGCATGGAGACATTTTCACATCATTGCCCTTCCTATAATTTTTGCCTCAATTCCCTCATAAATCGCTCTGTTAAATATCGTGCTCCAACGCCAAACTCTCGTGCATGCGTAGTATTCAGCTCCAATGTGAGTCTTCACTCTTACCTCAAGTTTTCTCCTTCAGACTAGCAAATCTTCCTTGTTTTAATCTTCTCTTAAGTAGGTGTGTCAAAGGGGACTTCGCAAAATTTCCAAAAATCAAGGGTTCTTCGTTTCCAGAAACCCTAAAAATCGACTGGTGCCGGGCCCTGAGTATAGTTCAGAGATTCCTTGGACACATAAACTGGCGGCCAGAGTTGACACTGCCGAACATGCGCGTGAACTATTGTATTGTGCTCTGCGACCATTTTTGAGCGATAAAATTGGTAAAAGTAATGAAATTTTCTACAAACAGTCACTATAGTCGTAAGCAGCGTGCTCTCCCCCCCCCCCCTCCCCCCGCCAGCGCTCAGCTCCTTAGCTCAAAGCCTGCAAAAATCGATGAAATCAATAAAAATATATTTTTACGAAGGAAAGATATTATATTTGTGATCAGCAAACTCAATCTCCTATGTGCCAATACCAGCCTCATAGTTCAAAGTTTGCAAGAAATAGATAAAATCTAATGTTGATCTAAGTTTCGCAAGTCCGAGTTTGACAGCACTGCTCATCCAACTAGTGAGTATGTAACGACAGATGTGCTATCGTACTATATTTGATTAATTCATGGTCTCTCAAATAAGGGGTCTCCAAGATATTTCGCGCTAAGAAATCTTCTTGACTGCAGTTATACGTGGTGTCCCAAAATAATGTGCACACTGTTTGATTTTGAATAACTCTCTTATTATGAGGTCTTTCGAGAAGCGGTAAGCGCCATTTTGTAGAGCTGGTTTCAACTTAGATTAACAGTATAGAGCGGATCACCGACCGCTCTTCATTACTGTAGGATTACGGTAGAAACTTGGAACAGATGGTGTCACTGTGGAAAAGGCTGAAGTTTCAAAATTTTCAAAAACATGTGAAAACTTGTGTAATAGGGTTTTTAGGGACGCTGAGTTCAATACTCAACTATTCTCAAGATTGCGAAGCTTTCTAAACGGTGTTACCGCACTTTTTGGGAACATTGAGAAAATGGCCGCTACTGCTTACCTCGCATAACTCTTCAGTGAAGCATCATAATAAGTTGGGAACTTTACAGTTAGAATCAGCAACTCTACTTGGCCTAGTGTGAAAAGTTTTCAGGCTGTTTTGATTCCTTTCTGAGGCAAAATAAGGCCTTCCATGACCCAAAACAATTTTTCATCTACCGTGATTCTACAGTAATGAAGAGCGGTCGGTGATTCGCTTTATACTGTAAATCTAAGTTGAAGCCAGCTTTACAAAATGGCGCTTACCGCTTCTCGAAAGACCTCATAAAAAAAGAGTTATTCAAAATCAAACAGTGTGCACATTATTTTGGGACACCCTGTACAATACCGCTCGTAATTTGTGAAAAAAATTGGCGGCGGCCGCTTAACTAGGACAGCTGCCGCCGAAGTTCGGCGACAAAGTTAGGCAAAGGGAGCCTAGGGTTAGGTGGCCATCACCTAATTTCTCGAGAATTCGTCGTACCCTTATCTCGAATCAAAGTTTATAAATTCTATATATAAGAGTACCATTCCTCAGCTCGGCGAGACGCATTCCAGTATATAGATGTATCACAATTTAGGCGATAGGTAAGTATACGCTAATTTTCACAAATAAGATTTTTGTTTGGATGGATTTTTCAGTGGATGAAATATTTACATTCATTTGCTGTTGGTGGCGCTTTTTGTGGATAGTGTAGGAATAGCAAAAATCACTTCGCACGGATCCTTTTGAAAATTCGCTCAGAGAGGCTATTTGATGCGTTGATTGCAGTTATGCGCAAGGTATTTGCAGCTGTCTATGTGAGCCCGCACACTGGCGCGGAACAAGCGACGACACCTTACTGAAAACTTGCCAGTACCTTTTCTGATGGAACAAACTGTTAAAGCGCGTACTATTACTTGAACCAACCACCAAATTTTGTTAAAAATTTGAACAGTGTTTTTGATAAGATCTCGTCCTATTTTCCTCGTAATATTATTTCCTCCGTGTCGTACGTGCGCTTTTGGTAAAACTCCGATAAAGTTACAGTTTTTGAATTTTGGACAAAACTCATGAGAACGCAAGTTCAGAAGCTCATAACCTAGCGAACAGTGCGGAACGAAGCCTGATTCGCATAGTCCGATAGCGCTGCTTGCAGACACTTCAAACTAAAAATACATGCAAGCAGGTTCATCAAAAAATGGGTAAAATGTGCAGCAGAAGTTGCCACTTTGCAAGGTCTAACATCTTTCTCAAACCACATTTAATTTCCAAGATCGCTTCTTACTATAGGAATACGGTAGATACTATTTAGGTGAATGTGGATTTCTTCATGCTAACTGTTTTCGCCTTCGCATCAGAAAATTTTTCGGCGTCGTAAGGTTGGTATAAAACTCGGAAAGGTGCTCTATCGGATGATTCCCATGAGAACTCTTTATTTAGGAAGCCTTGAGCTGCGCCCTTACAAAAACCCGTCTGCAGAACATAACTGAACACCTATCAAAACGAAACATATATGAAGTACTCAAAATAGCATGCAAATCAAAGTACTGATGCCAAACTAGCTTCTCAAGATGTTGCTGCAGACTTTGGCTTATAAATTGTTCGTGGCCTTCCACATCTCCAAAATGTACCAGCCATTATCTCAATTTTGGAGAGAAGCCTGCACATAATTTTTTGTTGGGATTGATGTATGAGCAAAGCTCTACCGAGAATAACTTACTAAAGCTCCTTATGTACAATATGCGCTCGGTATGCCATCATGAAAGCATGTCCACACGAGAAACTGTGATTACCATATACAGATCACGTGCTATGCCTCAACATCAGTTGATTTCTTACAGGCTGACGTCATAACAGAGATCAATTGTTAATCTTCAAAAGCGCGGGAGCAACTTTACAGACATATCCGAGTGTGGCACTACATCGTTTTTCGACTGTATCCCGTATGCATACTGCGTTACAGATAAGTTATCCCGCTATGACCTGTAAGAATGGAAGCTAATTACTTCTTGAAATCTCTCCTTACAGTCTAACTCTCTTTTTGTTTGGTTGAATTGTATAATAGTACGTGCTTTCACAGTTTGTTCATCAGAAAAGGTACTGGCGAGTTTTTAGTAAGGTGTGGTCGCTTGCTCCGCGCAGGGTGCGAATACCTTGTGCATAATTATTGCAATCAACGCATCAAATAGCCTCTCTGAGCGAATTTTCAAACGGATCCGTGCGAAGTGATTTTTTACTGTTCCTACACTAACCTATCCACACAAAACGCCATTAACAGCAAATGAATGTAAATATTTCAGCCCACTGAAGAATCCATCCAAACAAAAATCTTATTTGTGGAAACTAGCGTATACTTACCGTATCGCGTAGATTGTGACATATCTATATACTGGAATATGCGCCTCGTCCAGCTGACAAGGGAAGTACTTTCAACGGCCGTGGCCTTTTGATACGAGATGCACATCATTTGAAACAGCTTCGAACGCTGATTTTAAGTCTACTTCCCTCTTCTGCGGAACGCTCTTCTGAAGAGAGTTATGGAAGCCTGAATATTCTCTCTTGGAGAGCTCCTTGAGTTTGAGAGCGCTGCTAGTGCGTTGGTGGTGCAATGGTGTAATGGATAGTTGTTGACCTTGAAGGCAAAAGGCTGATGGTTCGAATACGGTTTGATTGAATTCATTCAAAAGGTTTTGAATTCATGCGAAACACCACTCCAATATTGTTCCCCTAGTAACTCAATGCGTACTTGCGAGCATGAAAATTGCGCGGAGGTTCTCTACATACGCTGTTCCCATTGTAAAAAAGTGTCTATGTTTTGCTCACTTTGTAATTTCGCTTTACCTCTGTACATGAATTTTTTGCGGAGAAAACCAAATCTCAACAAGCAAGCGGTTCTGCCACAAAATCTTCTCAACTCACATTCGCCAAGGGCATTACAGTGAGTGTCTGCAGACGAATTAGAGTGGTTTTTAAACTCTAACTCGTCTGCAGACACAAAATGGTGCATTCGTAGTGCAAAATGGTAGGCTCTGCACTAGATTCGAATTATCGGCTTTTCGCCTTCAATGCCAACAACTAACCATTACACGACTGCACCACCAACTAACTAGCAGCGCTCTCAAACTCAAGGATCGCTCCAAAATAGGATTTTCAGGCTTCCATAACTCTCTTCAGAAGGGCGTTCCGCAGAAACGGAAAGCAGATTTAAGATCAAGTTCAAAGCTGCTTCAGATGATATGCATCTCATATCAAAAGGCCACGGCCATTGAAAGTATCTTCCTCGTGAGCCAAGTGGTACTCTTACATATAGAATTTACAAACTTTGAATCGAGATAAGGGTATTTCGACGAATTCTGGAAGAATTAGGCGGCGGCCACCAACCTCAGGCTCCCACCGCCTAACTTTGTCGCCTAACTTCGGCGGGAGCAGCCTAACTTCGGTGGCCGCTGCCAATTTTTTTCACAAATTAGAGCGGTATTGTAGTTGTACAAACGCATATGTATAATCAGTGGTTTGCTACTTACTGCACTTAAAAAGAGCGTTTGAAAAAAGAATTTATTTTACAAGTACAGAGTGAAATGGTAGAAATCTTTTAAAGAGGCAACAAAGAACTCCCTCAAAGTACAAAGCCGAAAATGAACGAACCACGTAACTGATCATTTAGGCGGTGTCAAACCTTCGGTCGTCTGGTCAAACGATCCCTTCGGGTACAGTAATTCTATACAGTACGTTTTCGCTCAAGCAGGCACGTTAGTCAGGGAATATCGTTACCAAAGAATAATCTTGTCTCAGTGGTTGGCATTTCAGGCTTGAAGCGTGCCGTGATCAATAGGATACACCGTGGCATCAAACGGTATTTGCAAAGTGAGAGAGCCATACCATTTAGATGGCGTCAGTACTTTGGTAAGATTGTTATATTATGCGCATAGGTAGAAGACGATATGTCACTAATAAGTTCCGCCCGTACGAACATCTGCTACAAACAAAGTGTCGCAAACCATGTCTCTGGCATTGCGACGTCTGCTACCTATATCATGGTTGACCACAAAATAGCTAAAAGAAGAGTAATCAATGCCAATTTTTGCTTAAAACGGTATTCGTATATATAGATGTAGAAGGCGAGTCTGATATGCTCACACATGTTCTACCATATGCACACTACGATATTCTCAACTCTTGCGGTCCAAGTTCTTCGATATGCTGTGAATTTGATTTTAAAAGAATGACGCATTGGTCGTGTCCGGAATCGAAACCAAAACCTATTGATGCGTCCAATGTAGCAACACAGTGAGTTTGATTTTCCTGGCAAACAATTTGGCAAAATGGAATGCTATAGATATGCAGGGCTGAAAAGTTAGTTTCACAACTACAAAAAATGGCGCTGATGTATGAGACGAACGTTCTGCTGATGGTACACGGAGACGATTTTCGGTATAATATGATACAGGAGTGGCACCAACAGCACGATAACCTTTTACCACTTTTTGAAGAAATCAACAAAGGCAACCTTGCTGAGATTCGGTCAGTTTGCGCTTGGCATGTAATCTGTGAAGAACAGTTCAGAATCTGCTGCTTCAAAATTGAACATTTTCTATTCATAGTTTCGGCACGTTTTCGGACTATTTCAAAGAGCTGGAGAAGTGGTACAAAGAAAATGGAAAACAGCCTGTGACGCTATCAGGCGACTTCTTCCCATACAAGTAAGCGTAAGCCACCTACTACAAACATCCTCCTCTGTCTTGCAAGTGGATAATATTCCGTTTGTTAGCTAATGTCTTTTTGTCTTTAAAGCCCAAGATACCATGTTAGAGTGTTGGTTCTGACCTACACTGCATAGGTACACAACGGAGTAGACGTCATCATTTCTGTGCTGTTATGCGGGATTACGATGGATGATCAAACTCTAAGGCAATGCCAGAAAGACTATTCTCCTTTTTGATGCACTCATTGTGGTCTTTTAGAAAACGTTCACCAAGCAGCAGTACATTTTTTGGTAAAGACGGGTATAGCATGAGAGGAGTATCGGGAGAATTGCATGGTTGACCCTGTTAGAGCGATACTCAGTTTTGTTTACAAAATGGTGCAGGAATATAAGATAGGGGCGGATCTTTGTCAATTTTTCGAAGAATCGTGCTCTAAAAAGTGAATCAAAATCGAGTGCGAAATGTACACTTGCTTTCCACACTATTTTTATTCCCAATCAATTAGCGTGGCCCTAGATGGCCAAGCCTTCTGAAATTCCCAAAGTTGACCTCCACGAGCAAACCCTTGGATTTTCTTATACTTTTGGCTGCAAAAATACAATGACTCGCTTCAAGAATATTGTGTTCGCTTCGCCCAAAGACTCCCACTGTATTGAATATGGTACTTGCGTATGCTTCAGCTGCTCAGTTGAATATCGAAGCTATATCGGTGGCTAGAACTCAAACTACGGAATCTAACACAATAAGATCCATTAAGGGCGTGAAAAGATTTTGATCAGCGTGTTGTACATGCGCTCACTATGGCATTTTGACGAGATTTGCGATCTTTGCATTTTGGGCAAAATTCATGACGACGTGTTTTCATAGGCTCGTAACTCGGCGATTTTTATAGACTGGAGCCTGATTCATGCACTATTAGGTAGCACAGTCCCTACTAAGTTTGACTTGAACAAGCAAGCAAGCAAGTTTTTTGATAGATACGCGAGAAATGTGGGCAAAGTTACGCACTTTCGTGACTCCGTTACGGTTACCTCACCATGTCTATGCAGAAAGACCATGTATTACTCGAAGACCACGATTTTCGTAAAGAGTGTGTCCGAAAACCTCTATAAGCGAAGTTTCCTTACAATTTAAGAGCATGAACGTTTTGACCAAATCCATCGGCCAGCTTCAGAGCGTGACACGGAAAAAAATGAAATTACCCGAACATTTCGGAAAACTTGCTCATAATGGTTATCCAACCTGCTGATTACGAAAATCACATCTGCTTAGCAAGAGAGATTCATATTTAGTAGTCAATCTTACAGCTTGCTATTTCAACAAATGGATTCAATGAGAATCGTTCCACCTTTGGGGTCATTGGGCCTCCCCAGCATTCCGGCTAGGTTGGGTTATGGTCATTATACCTGAGCCAGTAGACCTGCCTTATAAGCCGCCGGATTGCCTCTAAGAGTAACTAAAGATCGTTCCGCTGGCAACGAGGGGGCTTGCGTCCCATCTCCATGGATTCAAAGTTTTGGAGTTATAAATCTCGTGCCTACATCTGCATACTTATCTATTAGCCTACCAACATATTCAGTGCAAGCTGTTTTATCTTCTCACATTGGTCTGATTAGGATCAGACTCGGACTGAAATGATGATGTCTGCACTTGTTTACATATCTTGTTCGTTTCCGCTGTATTACTAACTTCTTGATGTGTATTTTTTATGGAACGCCTTGAGCGTACAAATGAAATGAAATGAAATTTTAGCGTTACGGTGAGAAAAATTTAGAACGACATGATTTTTCCAGAATTCACCAGTCCTTCTATCTTCTTTGGAAAGAAGTGTGCGGCTAATTTGTAGCGCCCCATAATCTACAGAAGAAGTACTATTGAAAATTTCTTTCTGAATCTAGTGGAGGCAATACGCGCTGCATTACATCTTTGCGAAGAGACGTCCGCAGAAAGTTTGAAGAATGCTGAAATCGAGATATCAAGGACATTCTGTACCGAAAGATTTGCCTTGATGAGCTGAGCACAATGCCTTCTTCGGATTAAAAAAATTTCCACTCAAAGAAAGTTACGGCGAGTAGAATTTGGAAACGAGTGATTTTTCCAGAATTTACCAACGCTTTTTTCTCTTTCGGAAAGAAGTCTGCGGCAGCTTCTTAGCGCACTATGATGTACAAAAGGAGCACTATAGAATGATACTTACTGGAAGCTTTTATGATATAACTAGCTGGCTTACCCGGCTCCGCCGTATCCGGACCAAACTTGGCACACATACACTTCGGGCCCCGGCGGGTGTCACAGTCCACTTTTCGTTATCGATCGATGTCGATTTTACCGATTTTTATCGTTTTCTTTGCAGAGTTCACCTACGGGACTGGGAGTTGGCACAGGGGGAGGGTAAGTGAGCATGGGGATTAGGAATACAATATTAGTTTTCAGAATTATCGATTATTATTTTGGTTGAATTAAGTGTGCTGATAACAGTGTTACCATTGATCTGTCGCTTATGACACATAGACAGTATACTACAGGAGTATGGTAGAGAGCCACTCTGATCGAATTTGTTCTAAGATCTGCTCAAGATCACAATACCCCACAGAATGTCAAACTTTCCTTGAACTTCGCGGATTTCCGAGATTTCCGCCAGAGTGCGCGATAATCCGGGAAGTTCGCGACATTTCAGGATCCGCGAAACCATGCGAATCACGCAGAGTACGCAACGCCAAAACTTCCTTCGGAACGAATATATTCCGAATCAAGAAGCAGCATTGTGTTCAGACCGTCGAGGCAAATATTTCGATATACAGCATGCTCTCGATATTCCATTTCCAGTTTTTTCGAATTTTTTTCTGTGGAGGTACTTTCGCAAGAATGTAACGCAGCGTCTGTGTAACATAAAAGATTCCAGTAAGCACTGTTCGAAGTACTGTCCTTGTAGGTTGTCGTGCGTTCAAGAGTAACTGTAGACTGTCTTCCAAAAGAGATAGAAGCGTTGGTGAATTTTGGAAAAATTACGCGTTTCTAAATTCTACTCGCCGTAACTTCCTTAGGAATGAACATATTCTGAATCCGAAAAAAGCTTTGTGCTCAGTTCATCAAGGCAAGTCTTTCGATATACAGCGTATCCTTGATATTCCGATTTCAATATTCTCAAATCTTTCTGTAGACGTCTTTTCGCGAAGGTGTAAAGCAGCGCGCATTGCCCCTAGTAGACTCAGCTAGGACCTTTCGATAGTACTTTTTCTATAGATTACGTAGCGCTATAAAGTAGTCACAGACATCTTTCCAATGGAGGTAGAAAGGCTGGTAAATCGTAAAAAAAATCTTGTTGTCCCAAATTCTACTCGTCGCAACCCTAGAATACGAGGCTATCTTGCTAAGCAGTCTGTTGTCCTGGTGATTACAAAACTCACATCTGCTTAGCAAGATAGCCTCGTATTCTAGGGTTGCGACGAGTAGAATTTGGGACAACAAGAGATTTTTTTACGATTTACCAGCCTTTCTACCTCCATTGGAAAGATGCCTGTGGTTACTTTATAGCGCTGCGTAATCTACAGAAAAAGTACTATCGAAAGGTCCTAGCTGAGTCTACTAGGGGCAATGCGCGCTGCTTTACACCTTCGCGAAAAAAAAATAAAAAACTGACTCACTCTAACAGTCATAGTCCTGTTCTTGGCGGTAAGATCTAAACCAGCGCACATTTTTTTCAGAAATTCTAAATTTTTGCAGCTTCGATATTAGAACTCATGCGTAATTCTAGAAGACTTTGGAAAGATCAACGTAGATTACATCGATTTAATTTCCAGAATTAAGGCCCTTCTACAAACAAAAATGCTCTCCACAAGGTTAGTAGTAGTAGATCTGTTCGAGATAAAGCCATGTAGTTAAGGTAAAATTCAACAATGCTTTTCACTTCAAAAACTGGTTTATTTACTACCTGGCTTACCCGGATCCGCCCGGCCTAGTCAGAAACGATAAAGATTCCATTTCGATCCCTGTACACCTTTACCTGTGCCCACTTCTACATGCAATTCCCTATCCCCGCTGTGTGATCAGTATGTGATCTAGAAAAACGCGCATTCTTTTCCCGACGAATACCAAAGAAGGGGCTTAGGTACAATGCGTTCAACGACGCCAGCGCCGCCTAGTGCAGTCACACATCTATGCGCGAGCTTTACCGTAGGCGCAGCGTGCAGAGACCATGCTGCATACAACATCGCGTGCCTTGTCTTTACCATTATATCACGTAACTTTTCCGTTTTTGTAACAGCGGAATGCCATTTTTCTTGTTTTTATGCTCATATACAATCTGTGAATCTTGATACTATAAATTTTTCGCGGCAAAGGAAGGAGGTACCAATTTTTTACGTTTTTCCTCATGCATCTTTCATTTCATCCACACCTTCTTCGGAAGGCTGATTCCGGATGTCATAATTGATTATATCGACTCTCTCAACCTGTACGATATACGATTACACCTCACATTCACTTTCAGCTGTAAAGAGAAAGAGCGCCAGCCGTTTTTAGAATTCTTAAATGAAATGATTTAAATCACATCTTCTTTCAAACCTCATACCTCCATCTTGTCGTCTAATTCGCGCAGTGATACTTTGAGAGATCTCAGCGAGAGTGCCGATGTAGAGTTTTACACAGGAAAAGCTCAGAAATTTGGAAGCACGACGACGAATAAGATAAGAAAGAAGCAAGATGATTAGTCAAAACAAGGACCACGCCGCCTTGCGCGGCATAGTCCTGGCGCACTGCAGCACACGGTAGCGCTCGCGCGCATGTGTGTTCACTACGCGGCGCTGGTTCCTTCAAATGCACTGCACGCGTGGTTTAGACATATCGCCTAGGTATTATTTCCATTACGGACACTCAAAATTGATGAATCCAAGTTGTTGGTAATCCATTATATTAGATGGGTCCAAAAGTTTTGTCAGTTTTTTCAATCAGTTTTTTCTAGGAAACCCTTTAGCATATAGTGAACTAGCTGGCTTACCCGGCTCAGCCGTATCCGGACCAAACTTGGCACACATACACTTCGGGCCCCGGCGGGTGTCACAGTCCACTTTTCGTTATCGATCGATGTCGATTTTACCGATTTTTATCGTTTTCTTTGCAGAGTTCACCTACGGGACTGGGAGTTGGCACAGGGGGAGGGTAAGTGAGCATGGGATTAGGAATACAATATTAGTTTTCAGAATTATCGATTATTATTTTGGTTGAATTAAGTGTGCTGATAACAGTGTTACCATTGATCTGTCGCTTATGACACATAGACAGTATACTACAGGAGTATGGTAGAGAGCCACTCTGATCGAATTTGTTCTAAGATCTGCTCAAGATCACAATACCCCACAGAATGTCAAACTTTCCTTGAACTTCGCGGATTTCCGAGATTTCCGCCAGAGTGCGCGATAATCCGGGAAGTTCGCGACATTTCAGGATCCGCGAAACCATGCGAATCACGCAGAGTACGCAACGCCAAAACTTCCTTCGGAACGAATATATTCCGAATCAAGAAGCAGCATTGTGTTCAGACCGTCGAGGCAAATATACAAGATACAAGATTTTATCGATTTTTTGAAAATTTGAGCTAGGGGGCTGGAATTTGGCACAGGGGTGTAATCGAGCATGCTGATCACCCCCCTTGGGGATGATCAGCATGCTCGATTACCCCCCTGTGCCAACTCCCAGCCCCCTAGCTCAAACTTTGCAAAAAAATCGATAAAATCGATAAAAGTAATCGATAATCCCGAAAACCAATATTGTATTCGGAATCCCCATGCTCGATTACCCCCCTGTGCGAACTCCCAGCCCCGTAGCTCAAACTTTGCAAAAAAATCGATAAAATCGATAAAAGTAATCGATAATCCTGAAAACCAATATTGTATTCGGAATCCCCATGCTCGATTACCCCCCTGTGCCAACTCCCAGCCCCGTAGCTCAAACTTTGCAAAAAAATCGATAAAATCGATGAAAGTAATCGATAATCCTGAAAACCAATATTGTATTCGGAATCCCCATGCTCGATTACCCCCCTGTGCCAACTCCCAGCCCCGTAGGTGAACTCAGCAAAAAAATCGATAAAAATCGATAAAATCGATATCGATCGATGACGAAAAGTAGCCTATGACACCCGCCGGGGCCCGTAGTGTATGTGTGCCAAGTTTGGTCCGGATCGGTTCAGAAATGGAATTTTCTATTCGGAACATACGTACAGACATACAGACAGACAGACATACAAACAGACATTCAGCTTCATATATAAGATTTGCAATATTCCGAAATCGCGAAATTTCTGGAATTTCGCGAAATCCCCGTTCTGTGGGTGGTATTGTACATTGCACAGCAAGCGCGGCATTCCACGATATGTGCTCCTCATGCGATTTCCAATCATTCCCCTTTGTCTTCCTGCATTTTGGGACCCGTCATACTTCGCCGAGAAAAGCCCAGTTTTACACATATCCGTGTAGAATGAGCTCTTAAACTATACCCACCCTATTTCTGCAGTGCTCAACAGAATGTGTAGGTAGCCTCTGGAATCAGCACACTGAATGATCCATTTACACTGAAATTCCAAGAAAAAAAGCCTATATCCCACAACTAGGCACATCTGTATACTGGAAGATGCGCCTCGATGAGCTGAGTTGAATGGTACTCTTACATATAGAATTCATAAATTTTGAATCAAGGTAAGGTCTATTTTATTAAAAAAAAAAGTTAGGCGTTGCGAAGTTAGGCGACAAGTGCCGCTTTCCGCCTAACTTTGTGGCGCGACGCGGCGTTGCCACCTAACTGCGGCGGCGCCGCGTGAGTTAAGTGCCGCCGCCAATTTTTTTCACAAATTACGGGTGGTATTGTAGTGTATCATTAGCCATACATTCAGATGCTTTCTGGGCGACGTTTGGACTGGATACTTTACCACACGACCTTTCGTCAAAAGACAGGAACGATCACTACATGTGTGTAGTTTTTTGGCCATATGCTTCGGGGAATGAGCAATTCAGAACATTGTACGTGCTGCTGACTTAATCTCTGCCCAAGCATGGCACAGCATGGACGAGCAGTCGAGAGCGGAGGTTATCAGCGAACTGCAGGAAGCGCGCAGAATTCTCAGTCTGATACAACATCACGATGCGATCACAGGTTTGCTTTGTTCATATTATTTGAGAACCCCTTCAGACAAAAGCCGAAAATAAAGTTTTATCCCCAGGAATTCGCGCCGTGCAAGCGGTCCTCCTACAGGCACTAGCACGCAAACGGTCGACAAAACCTGAACCTTCCGTGCGTGCGGCAAGTAGTTGAAGTGCCGTCGAAGCAGCAGGCAATGTTACCGTGCGATCGACCGGCAATATATTTGCCCGAGCGAACAATTTTTGTTGACCAGCCAAGGCTTGAGCTCATGTTATAGTGATCAAGAGTAATGGTGTGGATTTTTTTTATTGAAGGTTCGGGCAATGCTGCAGGGGATCGATGTTCTCAGGATGTGAGAACTAACATAACTCAAAGAAAATACTCAAGTACTTTGTACAAAATTACACTAACAGAAAGCGAGCGGCCGACCTTTCGTGCGCAAACGGCGAGAAAAGAAACATACTCAAGTACTTTGTACAAAATTACACTAACAGAAAGCGAGCGGCCGACCTTTCGTGCGCAAACGGCGAGCAGCAATTCTCACCGTGCGTCCGCCCCACGTTACCCTTGTGGTCGCACACACCAGCTCAGACATTCGCGGTTGACGACCGCCGTTGAAACGGAGTTCGATTCATTGAAAACATGCGGAACACCTCCGTTTGTTTCGGGACAATCCGACTATTGGTTCGGGACAAGACTGCCGGAGAAACGCCGGTCGAACAGGTTTAGCCTGGTTTGGTTCGAGATTTGCCTGCAGCACATGTTCGGGTCGAACGCAGGTGAAACGCCGGTGAAATGCAGGAGTCCCGAACCGACCACGGGGCATGGAATTAGCCGTAGAGCGCACTTGATATTGTTCAAATTTCCGGCATACATTGTATACTATGTAAACAACAGAGACTGAATCGACAGATACTTATTCATGTCAGGTTAACTCAACGACAAAACCATAAAAAATGATAAGAAAACTCGTAACAACAAAATTGCAGCAGCAAAATTAATTCCTGAGCAAAAAGAGAAAAATCTACTCTCAAGAACAGAATCGCAACAAGAAAATCATACATCTGTGAGCAAAACCACAAAAAAGGAATCAATCTTCCTCAGGCGAGTCCCGGAATGATATCCACGAAAGTCCCCGCGAAATGGGCTTTTCGTGCGAATAAAATGGGCTTAGTCCATGCGGTGCGATAAGATATCGCATTTGCGAATCCATTCATTCCATACAAAACTTCTTCAGCAAACCTTTCTCCAACTTGCCTCAACCTGTTTACTCACTCTTGCAAACTCATTTCTACTAAGTGATCGGTATCTAACTAGGGCTGACCTAACATTACGATGACAGTCATGTGAGTATTCTATGCTTTCATATTTTATTATACATCAAAAAATGCCATTTGTTATCTGCATCGAAAACATCTTCAAGAATAGAGTTCACATAATATCCGGGCCTTCGCTTCACAAGAGTTCTATGGATCTGCTTTGAGTCAAATTCGTATGTAGGGCTTTCTGGGGAATCGGAGAGAGCAAAATCTGTGAAGCAAAATGCTTATCTCTGGGAAACCTTGCCCTACAACCCAAAGGGCTCTTTAAATCGGAAAACTACGAGTCGCAAAGGATGACTTCGCAAATTTTTATTCATTTATTCATTTATATATACACTCATGGTGTACCATTAAAAGACCGAAATCGCACAACAAAAATATGAACACGAAAGAAAATCAAAAGACCAGCCATTCCTCAGTCACAGAACAAAGGTGAGTTTTGCAGATGAAACACAAGTACTGAAGCCCTTACCATAATGACGTAGACATATGATTATATAGATCAGCAAGCGGAAGGAAAGAACGCTTTACCCAATTCTGCAGAATCTTGCTCCTTCTATTAAGACCCCGCTTTTTGGGCGTCAGCGAGCCCCCCGGTCAAAGCTAGCTGACTTGAACCCGCAAAATATTTGTAGAAAAGAGCAAGATTCGAAATGGGAGCGGTAAGAATATGTAGGTAGGGCTAGGGGTGGGGGCTACGGTGAAAGGATAAGATGCAAACTCGAGGTTCTGGTGAATGGGGCTGGTTGATCTACTCAGCATAATAACATCTTCAAGCTTGTTAGTAACATGGCAAAAAGCAAAAAATGATTTAGTAAAATCAAGCCTCATATGATCATATCAAGAACACTTGGCGCGACTGCAGAGAAGCGCAAAACAGTGAAGGTACGAAGAAGTATCCTGCAAAAAAGAAGAAACAGCACAAGAAGCCTCCGTATTCAACAAGATTCATTCACTTGCATGAGATCGACACTCCTAAGCCTACGCTTGAAAGAAGATACGCTTTGCGCAGAGAGCACTTGAGGAGGTAATCGGTCAAGCCACCTGGACGTTCTATAAAAGAAACTGTTAAAAACACGCAAGAAACGTTTTCTGTTGATGCGAGGGTAATGGATGTTGAACATACCCGCTCTAGCAGTAGGTCTGAATATCCAGTACTTATTTGCATCCAGCCTAAGTTCTTTACGCAGGAGTCGAAATGCAAAAATGAGATCGTGATACATACGTCTGTGTTCCAAGGTTTTCATAGCCAAATGTTTCAAACGATTTTCGTATCTTGGCATTTCGGTGTAACTTATGCTTTTGCGGCATCTTAGAAACAAAATACGAGTGAAAGTCTGCTGGACTTTTTCTAATTTTGAAATGTTCTTTTTCAAAAAAGGATTCCAAACTATAGAGCAGTATTCTAAATGGGGTAACACATAAGATTTGTAAAGGCGTTTCAAAACAAAGGGGTTATCTACGTGGATCGTCCGAAGGATTGTGAATAAGGCCGAGTACGCTTTGCTCACCACGTTATCTATGTGATTCGAGAAACTGAGGTCGGCATCAACCAAAATGCCCAAATCTTTAGCAATGGAACAATTCTTCAGCGTCGTTCTATTTATCTCATAAATGGGATTTTCCTGACCACCGAAATGCATGACAAGGCATTTATTCAGGTTGAGGGGAATACCAGAATCAACTGCCCAACGCATCAAGATCTCCAATGAGTTCTTTATCGCTGTGCGAACCTCAGTACAATTTTGTTCACTGTAGCATCCGTAAATCTTGATGTCATCCGCATACATTTGTACATGAACATCAGCGGATGTGATCAAGAGTGACGGAAGCTCGGCGGTATATATTAAGAAAAGTAACGGAGAAAGGACGCCACCTTGTGGAACACCACTCACGCATGCATGTCGATCTGAAAAGTGATATCCCACTCTGACCGTCATGCCTCTATTACTCAAGTAGGATCTAAGCCACTTCAAAAGATAACCTGCTAAACCAAGTCGCTCTAATTTCTGCAGAAGTATTCTATGATCAACCTTATCAAATGCCTTGGTAAGGTCCACATAGATAACATCCACCAACTTACCTCTGTTAAGGGCTAAGTTCCAGTCATAAGCAGAATCAACAAGGTTTGTGGCGGTTGATGAACCTGCCATAAACCCGTGTTGATTAGCTGGGATTACTCTGATCTTAGCAAGCCATGAAAGTAGTCTATCGCGCAAAATCTTTTCCATAACTTTCACAGCAGTTGGAATCAAGCTAATGGGGCGGAAATCTGCTAGTTGACGAGCGTTAGGGACTTTTGGAATTGCGGTTATCAGTGACTCTTTCCAAATCTGTGGTACCTCACCCGACAATATAGATATGTTGAAAATGTGGGCAAGAGGTGTACACAGAGAAGGGGCACACTTTTTGAACACAATTTGTGGGATCCCATCATACGTCTCAGAACAAGAAGACCTCAATTTGTTCAGAACTCTAAGGATCTCGGAGGCACGGAAGCAGCTATCTGACAGATGGCGAGTGGAAGCGAATGTCGGCATGCCATTTTCCATGATACTGCTATGATCAACAGGATTGAAGACGCCAGCGAAGTAGGACGCTAATGCGCGTGCTTTCTCATCATCAGTCACACATGATTCTCCTTTCTGGTCGATTATTACAGGAAGACATCGGCTGGGCTTTAGTTTTTGATTGACGTATTGGAAAAATGACTTGGAAGAAGCTTTTGCAGCAAGTCTTTGCTCGTAGTTGGCTAAGAATTTTTTCATATGAAAATCAAGATCTTTGCACACTTTTTTATACAGGGGGTTCGACAGTGGTTCAGTCAGATTACCGAATAAGCGTTCTTTTTGTGCTAGCAAGTTCTGTACTTGTTTAGGGTAGGCAAACTGGCGGCGAATCATAGCTCTGAATGGTACAAATCTCGAGAAACCATCATACATAACCAAACAAAATCTGTAATACACATCATCAACTGATTCGTAATGATCAAATAAATCCAGCCAATCTATGGAGCTGAGATAGCTGTTCAGAGAAACGAAATCAGCCCTGCGAAAGTCGGGAGTGGGCAAGAATGCTGGAAGTGAATCTGGCCAGCTCGCCGAGAAATGTATGGTTTGATGATCAGAGGTGGCAAAGGGAGGCATGATACGTGTGTCCGAAATGGTGGTGGAAGAGGTCGAGAAAACGAGATCGAGCACATTTGAGCCATGAGTAGCATCTTTCACATGTTGCTTAAGTCCTGCATTGTGAAAGAATTCAAAGAACATAGCTGAAGTTCTGTTAAGAGCCAAAAGCTTGGACCAATCGATATGCAAATTAAAGTCTCCCAAAACAATCGCGTCTTCTTGCTCACTGACGAGCTGACACAGTAGCTCGATAAGATTTTCATTACTAGAGATCGTGCTATTAGGCGGCCGATAAATTGCGATAAATCGCAAACAAGCAGGCTTCTGCGGAGACGATATGTCCACGCAAAGGACATTGGACATAGTACTAATGTCGGAAAAATATGACTTCACTAGAATGGTGCTTTTGGCTATACAGCAAATACCGCCGCCTTTACGATGACATCTATCACTACGTAACACATAATATGGAAGATCTCCTACAACTTCACTGTCACGGATTTTGTTAGTCAGCCAAGTTTCTGTCACGAAAAGAATATCTGGTTTATTTTGAATCAAGAATGAGTGCAGGTGGTGCAATTTATTCACTAGGCTCCTTGCGTTGAAGAGAAAAACATCAATTTTCTCTCTAGTGCCATGCAATCTTATAGGTTTCCCGGCCCCGACCTAGGTAGCTCGGACACACGTGCTAACTGCCCCCTATAGACTACCCACTCACGACTGGGCTTACCTTCGTTTCTCTGGCGAGCGATCTGTCGAAGCTCGTACTCACGCTTTCGCTCCTCCTCCGTCATGCTACGCCGTATAAAGACATTTGGATATCCGGCATGACGGAGGAGGCGCGCATTGGAAAGAGCCTTCTTCCAGTAAAAGGAAGAAGGCATCACGACTTTGATAAGTCGTGGGCGTGAGTTATTAGGCCTACCCATCCAAAAAGCCTCCGAAGGGCTGCAATCAACATCGACAGCGTCGAGAATATCCCCAACTTTTTCTTGGAGATACTCTCGACGCTGCGATGGACGCAAGCCCTCCGGAGGTTCAGGCACCCCGCTTATAACAAGGCTTCGCGCTCGCCTTTCGGCTTCGATGACCTCCGAGAAACCTGCAGAAATCTTATCGGACAGAGCCGAAAGCATCCTACCAATAGTAGGATCCTTATTGAGGTCTGTTATGGATGCTATTAGCTCTTGAATGGTCATAGTGCTAAAATCGCCCTCCCCATTGCCCCGGTTTCTCATATTCTCATCCTGGGAAACTGGAAAACTCTGCGAGTTTGCTTTTTGATCTTGCACTTTTTGAGAACGAGACTTAGGCGCCATAGCTTTTGATCTACCGTAGTTGTTCTACTTTAGCTCTTCTTTGTCTTTCAGCATTATTGTTTATATCTCTAAGTAGTTGAATGTATGGACTATTGCTAATAGAAAATTTTTCACAAAATTTTTCTTGCTAGCTAGTGGCATTTCAGTAATTCCTGCGACCAATCTCAAAATCGCGTTTGAAATGCCGTCTTTGAGGTTCGATACGAGAATAGTCAAAAGATAGGTTCTGAGTAATTGTATTAAAACGCAAATCTTTCTTATTCTCAAATACAAATCATGAATTTAGTTTTGGATGATAATTTCAAGAATTAACAAACTTTATTCGATTTACATAGGAATATTCGCATTGACCTGATATTTGGAAGCATTTGAGTTTGTTGCCGAATATTTTGGTGAATTTAACGTTCTTCCATGATTTTTATAGCGTTTGTATGAGTTTAGAAATAAACACTTATTTCAGACTTCATAAAAGACAGAAAACTTTTTCCACTCACTTGTTACCTTGGAATGAGCTGAGGAACACATTCTCAAAAAATCACCATCAAAAATATGCAAAAAGGTCAAAAATGGGCTTAGTTCCAGCTCACCTTGCTGCTGGGAGTAAAATGGGCTTTCAAGTCCATTCAAAACGGAGGTAAATCCCATTTTGCCCCATTCTAAAGGGACTTTTCGCATGATTCTTTCGCAAGCGAGAGCTCAAGTAGGGTTGAATCATTTCCATCACACCGCTTTGCCTCGTGGTTGCGATGAGATAAAAAAATTTTGGATATTGCTAGCGAAAGCAGATACCGACCATCTACCACGAACGAATAAAATGGGGCTTGAAAGTCCATTTTCCTATATTATGGACTTTCGTGGATATCATTCCCAGACTTCCGTTTTCTCGATTGTCGTCCCTTCTTGCGTCGTTATTACTCTCTTTTTTTTTTTGAAATTGAAGAAGAACGAATGACATCACAGCTCTGAACAGAGAAACTTACCTTGGGCGGCATGAGCGTCAGGCGCGCTGCATCGAATTTATATTGGCGAATGTCGGCTCCGAAAACAAACGCGGACGTTAGCACCTTCCACAGGAATTTTTTATACCCACCCGGGCGAGACCAGAGTAAGATCATGAAAAACCTACAATGCTCTGCAGATGGCCGCGCGTGCATGCGTACTCCAGTTTGTTTGCGCTTCTGATAGCGCATCGAACCTTTTTCTTCTTTGAAACTCGGTCTCAAATCAGCCCAGTACCTGAAACGGCAATAGATATCCTCTGTCATTTACGTGGTGAAAACTACCCTCCGTGAACTCTAGCGCAATCTGCGGTGGTAAAAAGAGTTCATCGCCGAACAATCCCAGTGCATCAAGAACGAAAGCTGAAATTTGAAGTCAACTCCTTCAAGTGGTTTCAAGGAATACAATAACTCAGACAATCGCCGGGGGCAGGCGGGCACCGGAAAAATAGATTGCTGATCTCTCGCACTCCGCCTGCGGATTTTTTGGAAAGCAATCAGGACTTTTCGGAAGACCGCTTGCTGAGTTCTCGAATTCTCAGAGATTCAGCAATATATCTACAAAAGATAAGAGCGAAAAAAAATTCAACAGGCGGTCTCTCAAAAATCCGCTGACTCAGCAAGCGGTCTTCCGAAAAGTCCTGATTGCTTTCCAAAAAATCCGCGAGCGGGGTGCGAGAAATCAGCAGTCTATTTTTCCGGTGCCCGCCTGCCCCCAGCGATTGTCTGAGCGTGTGTTTACTTGTAATAAGCGAAAGTACTTTCAAAAGTCTGGAAAAGTAGGCTTCAAAATTCTTCGAAATTAGACTGCCCCGCGCCCCTTCGAAATTTCCGGGTTGTGAGTGCACTTTTTGTACAAAAATTTCTGGTTGGTGGCTCACGCTACGAACCACTAAAAAAATTTCTCTAGTACCTCACCCTAAAAAATCTTTCATCCCGTCACTGTTTCATGTTATGAATTACCTATTTCCACACCCAGCTCAGTTATTATTATTAAATCTTTCATCCCGTCACTGTTTCATGTTATGAATTACCTATTTCCACACCCAGCTCAGTTATTATTTGTGAATGGTATCAGTCCAAAGTCAGGGTGATGCGACGTGACCTGTTTTGCATTATGTCGTCCGCTAATCACGATGGACCTCCACAAGATTCATTCCGATGACTGACGATACATCAAATAGTCTACGCTTGCGCGAACATCTTACACATATGCGTTCCAACAGGAGGACTTCATCGACGTCATAAAGTCTCTATGACTTAATCTCTGCCTGTTGTTAGTGTTTGCAGCTTTGAGACGCCAACCCCTAGTGTCATGAGTAAATCTGTGCTCAAGAAACCGGAATAAGTCATATATGAGTCTTCTCATTTAGGAACGAGCAGGAAGCATGTAATGCAAGACTATTTGTTTCTGCTCCATAACGCTAGTAGTCTAGCTCGAAGGGCATTTGAGGTTTCCTCCAGCGCTCTCTCCCGCAGTGAAGTACATACGGTGCGTTTAAATGATTTTATATCGAGGAACCTGCGGCGTAAAAATTTTACCGCAAATCTAAATCTATTTACATGTGCTCATGCGCGAACGAAATGATGAATGCTCTGTATTAAACAGATATCTGTACATCAGTGGCGGACCGAGGGGGGGGGGCGCCCCCCCCCCCGAGAATGGGTCGCGATTTTGAAACTTACCTATATGGGTTATAAAATTGTGCAAACGACTTGTTTGCACTTGAAAATAATTAAAATAATTTTTAAAATTTTCTAAAAATTCATTTTAGCCTTATAAAAAAAAATTTTTCGGGGGCGTGGCTGACGCCACGCCCCCTTTTTCCAGATTTTAGGGGTCGGGGACCCGCCAAAATTTTGAGAAGCACCCCAAAAAATTTTTCGGAGTGCGTGGCTGACGCCACGCACCTTTTTTAGAAAAAAATTTTTGTCGCGCCCCCCCCCCCCCCCCGAAAAAAATTTCTCGGACCGCCACTGCTGTACATGAAAAATCAAAGTTTCCGAATAGAAATCTTTCTGAGCAAAGTATTAGGTCGTTCCATAAGTTCGTAGCGTTTTCATTTTCGTCGTCGTTTTCTGATGAAGCAGTTGGTTTACGGCAAAGTTTCTGGTATTAATCGAAACAGCCAAATTTTTTCTACAAAACCTGCTTGTTGTTTTTGAAGCAGTCCTGATGATCTTTGGTTCATAACTTCTCAAAGCAAAGTTTTTTGAGTGGCAGAAAATGGCCATTTCGGCACCTGTACTTCTCGCATTTCGCCCATATCCAACAAATATTTTTTGTATGTATAGTCGGAGTAGCAAGTAGCAATCAAGGCTGATGTGCTGGCACAATGGTTTGCAGCCAATATGCTAAGAACTGTTTTAACGAGGTCTCAATAGCTGCTGTCTTCGACTGCTGCAGCTTGAGTTTTACGCGTTGTTTCGTAACAGAATGTTTCCGTCCTGCTGTCAAGCCTTCAGCGATGAATAGCTTTGTCTAGGTGGTGCAAAAGTTTGAATGCAATGATCAGCGATTTTACGCTTTCCCGAAAAATTTTGGCTCAGAAAACTCCCTAATTCCGGCCAAACGCAGAACATCTACACTTACCGTAAAAGTGCGCTCTATCATTCTCTGTAGCGGCTCCCTTGACAAGGACTCTTGTTCTATGTGCATCATAGTCCGGCAAACGGTCGCATCACTCATAACAATCCGAATGGAATTTTTCCTCTCGTAATTTCCGTATACAGCGCCGAAGATGGAGATGCCGAAAACGCCATTTTTTGCTACACAAAAAACTCTGCTTTGAGCAGTCACAAAACAAAGGTCATCGGGTTTACTTTGAAAACTAAAGGCAGTTTTTGTAGAGTAGAACTGGCTCTTTGAGAGAGTACAGACATTTTGCGGTAAACCAACCGTTTCACCAGAAAACGACGACAGAAATAAAAACGCTACGAACTTATGGAACGACATAATAATAAGCGTCAAAGTTTGCACAAATATGTTTTCAACCACTGTCCACATTAAAGGCTATTTTTGCGACGGTTCACCCAGTTTTTCTATTGATTTATCAACTTGTTTACTAACAACAGGAAAATGAAGGCTTCAACGGTTACTTTCGAGTAGTCATGTAGGGGGCGGTATATTTCATTAATTTTGCGTTGAAGAGGATAGAAGCGAAGCGCTTAGCAAAGAAGGCAATTCTACCATAGAACGCTGGTCGCTTTGAATCCAGAATAGGAGCAGGATCAAGTGAAAGGGCGGGGTGAAGAAAGCAAAAAGAAAAAAATTAGGGGGAGGGGGGGGTAGATTTTCACTCGCTTCGGTCTAAGTAGTCAATATGTAACATTTCGGATCGATTTGTGCTCGCAGGAAAACCCAGCTAGTTTCAAGTGAAGAGTACCCGGGAAAGCTAGCAAGTTTTGAATAAAGACTGATTATTGAAAGTACACTTGCATGATTTCGTAATCTTTGATTCAACTGGCTTGGCTTCGGGAAGGCGGGCTTTGTGACGACGTAATCAAGGCCGCTCGCACCTGCGTCTCTCTCGCGCGGGTGCTCTCTGATCACTAGCTAGCCTTAATTACGTCACGAAGCCCCGCCTTCCCAAAGCAAGCCAGTTGAATCAAACGGTATAGTAGGAGTTTGGTACACTGAAATGTTAGAAGGCACTTCATAGAAGTTGAACAACATACTACCAAATATTAGGGCATCTATGTACAGCTTAATCGACTTGACTTAAAATGTTTACTGCAAACTTGGCTAGAGCGTTTTGCGCTTGAATCCCAACACTAGTTCTTAAGTTGGAATACTCGGACAACAACAACGAAACGGAATCTTTGGAGGTTCTCGAAGTTGCAAAACTTGGCCGCATGTGAGTCATTCGCATCTAGATCCTGGATGTCCCTTAGGTTTTTCATTATTCTAGCGTAGTGAACGCATACAACTCACTGCCATACGATATTGAAGACGTTGTTTCTCTCCGTGTTGACACGGCAAACGTAGCGGTCAGCATTAACGGCGGTGAAGTAAAAGCACAAATTGAGCCCTATATTCATCAAGGAACGATACCACAACATTCTTTCCTTGTGAGTCAAACACCGGGAAAGAGTTTCCCTTCAAAAAAAAAATATTTTTTGCTCAGCTGGCTTTCCGGTGTCACTTCCAAGCCCTTTCCACAAACTCCTTCATTCTATCCAAAACCGACTCACCAAGGTTGACAAACATAGCGAGCGTGTTGGTGCACAAGGATGCCAAAGGATTGCTCCTATTTCCGAGGTTTGTACCAGTAAATTGTGCAGACATGAGCGATAGTCAATTAATATTTTGTAAAGCATCAAGCATTCCAGCATATTCAAACCAAAAAACATCACTTCGCAGGATTTCTTTCTAGAGAACGAGGAGCTCATAACGTCGCACGACAACGAAACGGGACAACTAAGTGTAGGCTCAAATTACATCATTCCAAACTATCCTAAATCGGTTCAAGGACCTGATTTTAGCATATCACAACTGCGGCAGTTGGGCGCACTGCTGTATCGACACAATTTTATAAGTACGAGAACGCTAATGGAGGGGCGTATCTGATGAAAGTTAACGGTCCGCCTACGGTAAGTTAGAATTGATAAACCAGCTCTAAAATTCCAAAGTTCACAATCGCAAAATGTTAATATCAGTGAGTTTGACCCTGAGAGCTTCTCCGGCTTCATAAACTTCTTGTGATTTTGACTTCATAAAAAAGTTTATTTTGTTATTTATTATGTTATTATTATTGGGTTTATTTATTGTTTAGTTTTCAGTATATTTACTAGTATATTTCAGCCACTAAAAAGCAATTCTAGTTTACGTTTTATCAGCAAAGGTTCTATCCAAGAATCCGCTCATTTGTTCTTCACCAAAATTTACCAAAAAATCACCGTGAAGAACGTTAGGGGTAAGCTTATATATACAAGTCGCTCATGATTTTCTTCAAAACTCTGTTCTCTTAGGTTCTCTTAGCAAGCAGGTTCATTTCTCTCTACGGGTAGATATAACAGAAGCCATGAACACAGAACTGTTGCTGAGAATAGAAACAAACTTGCGCGATGAAAGATTTTACACAGACAGTGCTGGTATGCAGGTATAAGTGGGTTTTTTCCGCAAAAATGTGCTCACAGTAGGAGCGTATTTACTCAGCTTTTGCGGCGACAGCGTCATGAAGCACTTAGCGACGCTGAAAATTTTTACCCCATGCCAAGTGCAGCTATATTGGAATGCAATCTGAAGCGGATAACTGTAGTTAGCAACCTGCCTCATGGAGTTTCACCCGTACCAGCCGTACATGGAATGGACATTGTTTTGGGTCTGCTTTACACCGTCTAGTTTCAGAAAACTAGCAGTTGGATATTCTTAGATCGCATGTTAAATCAAGATGACGGCAAAGGACTCGGGAGCGACCCTGACGGGCTGCCGACCGATATTCTCCCTGTTGAAATGCGATTCTCCATTCTTCTGGAGGGGATCATTAAAGCAGCGGTAAAATCACACTTCATGTTTTGGCAGAAAACAAATTATTATTTAAGACGGATACGTATAGTACTTATCACACTCCTGCTGGACATCTAGCCGTTCAGAATGTTCTCTACCCTCCCGTTTTGACAGCAAGTTCTGGTGGGCCCCAAGAAATTAGCGAATATCTGTAAACTCCATAAACTTCTTTATAGAGAAGATCCCTCCACTTCAAGCACAAGCTGCTCTTCCTTGCAATCTTCAACTGCTTACGAACCGTGTAGTGTCGAAGGGACAAATGTTACTGACTATTTTCAACGGCGGAATCATTTGTCGCACGAATACCACCACCACATGCACTGGTCAGCTACGGGTATATGATATAATGCTTAATTTGAAGCTCCACTTCGTAATTTATTAATTTCAGGGGCTCACTTCCTATCTCCGTGCATTGGGTGTTGTCAAAGTGCAGGAGACAGATCTAGTTGGAACTCCAAAAGCAGAAGAGATGTCACTGAAGAATTATGTACCTCATATCCCTCCGTACAAATTCCTCTCTCTGCTTTTAAGTTTCTCCTAAAGCGTATGTACGATGTACAGTGCGCCCTTTATGCCTATGTATCCAAACGATGTACAGTGCCCCTTTCGAATGTCCTGCTGATTTTCTTAAGACTCACGCGCGAGTAGCGATCAAATGCCGAAGCTTGCAGCTTGCTTGTTTTTGAGAGTTCTCCATTTTGTTTCCATTCCGTCAGTGAACAGAAGACAATCTATCTGCGTTGACTGAGCTTCTAGTCAGAATGCTCTTTTTACTATTCGATTGTTAACAAACCGACAATCATATTATTGCCTCACTGGCACGCATGTACCTTCATCATTCAGTGAAGAATAGGATGACAAATACAACACAATTCGGCGTTTTGGCAATCTGATGAAATAAGTCAATATTTCAGTGAACGTTGTCCGCTAGACTAGTGAAGCTCAGAAAACCACTAGTTGTCTGTGACTCTTTTACTGTACTCATTGCACATATGAATTTGTCTTCAATCCAAAATTTCACGCTACAATGCATGAAAAGGCGCAATAGGACATTTAGTTATTTATTTCATTTATTTATTCATTTATGCATTCACTGATGCGCCCAACGAACGTTTTAGTTCAACGATGTTGTCTTGATTTGCAACAAACAATGAGTACTGGTTTTTAGAAAATCAAACTGTATTGCAATAAATTTATAGCCCTCGCTTTATAAATATTAGTATGTGGAAGAAGGAGAACAAGCTGCAACCATGGTGTGAACAACCTCTGAGTTAACACTCTCAAGTGAAAAAAGAGGAAGACACAGAACGATGGTCTTAATTCCATGCCTGCCCTGGCGGGAATACCTTTGTGAGCTTTCTCTTACATCGCTCCCGTGGAAAAGGAATGCGGTAGACAATAAATGCATTGTATAGTCCCATAACTGAGATTGTAAAAACCCTATGAGTGAGGCTTACATTCCACACTCAAAAAGCAATCAAAAGGGTTTATTTTAGGAGAAGCCAGCAGCCCGTAGCAGCCACCAGGAGCCCGTAGCAGCCCGTAGCCGCCGCTGGCAGCTTTCGTTATATAAACAAAACTGTCAGAATCTTACAACCTTGAGTGTCCTGCAGGTGTGCAATTTGTTTTTGAGTATGCTTTTGCTTCAATTTTTTCTTGGCTATCGGTGCATATCTAACTTGCATTCTACTACTTCGCAAGTTCGCTGGGATTCATTTGCGGGTTAAGTTCTTCTGGCTTTGATAATCGCTCACATCTTTTTAAAAAAAGACAAATTGCAAAAGAGTGTGAGCGCGATAGGATACAATGTGCGGAACAGCACAATGAACACAAATGTATTGTGGGGGAGTTGAACTGCATATTAGCAGTAATAAGAAGAAATAAGCGTAGAAGATGAAAAACGTAGGCAGGAGCACATAAAGTAGTATGATTTTGCTTCTATAACAAAGGCGGCCAGAGGCGGCTATGGGCTGCCACGGGCTGCTGGCGGCGGCTGCCGGCGCGGTATGAAGGCGCCCTAAGCTACAAAAGCAGCTACTGTTTTGCCAAATTCTGACCGCCCCAATCAAGATTACGGTAGATACATGGTCCAGGGAGAAAGTTATAAAATTTTACGAATTTGGCTAAAACTTGGCATATTGGGGTTATTTGACATGCTGATCACGAAAACCTGCTAAAATTGCATGGTAAGGGTTTTTTTGTTTGTAAGTTAACGGTTTGTGGTCTCACCCTAATCAAGAAAATGGCGTTGATTCAGCAAATGATTATGATAGTCGTGTTTGTGCGGTCAAATAATCCCACTATGCGATGTCTCGGCGAATTTTGAGGTTTCGACTTGGTCATTGACGGTTGCCTCAGTAGTTTTGTGTACTGCGGCTTGTCCAACTTGGTGAAAGCTCAAATCTCGAGTTATCTTCAAATTTCATTTTCTTTTTTATTGAGTCGATTAATTTGAGCATTAGTGATAATTCACACACAATTTCGGATTATTCAGTATGATCTGGGTTGCTAACCGCTTCATTTTGGCTTAAAACCCCAAAAATTCTCGGAATTCATTATTTTTAGAAAAACGCTTCTAATTTTTCTCATTCGTTTTCAAACTTCACCATAGTTTGTGCATAGTTGTAGAACGATTACGTTTTACATATGCCAAAGTTTGAATGCGCAATGTCCAAAGAGTAAAGTTATGAAGAGAGTTGCAAAACTTAGTTTCATGCCCAGGTTACAAAAAAAGGACTTCTAGTATAGAGTTGCAAAACTTAGTTTCCAACCTAATAAATCGTGCATTTAATCCACGTTTGAAAGCAGCTACATTTTTGGCTTGCAGCGTATTACACGGTAGTGCACAAATCAATCGTGGGATTCTATAGAAGAAACTGTTGAACACAAAACGAAAACGCTTTTGGCCATCGACACTTGGTGAACTTGTCGTTATGAATGCCTTCAGAAGTCCAATCCAGCATTAGTTTTTGAAAATTACTTTCTGGCGAATCGAAAAAAGATCTTCTTCGAGCATAGCGTAAAACTTTGAGTCGATTATCCTGTCATAACTTTGTTAGTTCTGATAAGAAGTACGATGACAACGTTTTGCTTATGTGCATACTAGTCAACGCATCGTTCAAAGTATCCTTACGCCAACCACATTTCAGAATGAAGACGCAAACTTTCATTGTTCCTCTAAAACTTTCAGCTGCATTAAAAAAATTCAATGAAAGCAGTAGATGTGAGTTATGAATATAAAGCTTCTCACATTAGCCTGAATCATCGGATTACAGATTCGAAAAATTCATACGAATGTATAGACATCAGGATAAACCACTTACAAATCTGTATGAATTCGAACTACTTTTTCAAAGTGTTTTTATACGCGCGAAAGAACATGAATATAATAGTTTCGAATCCTTTTTGAATAAAAGACATTATTGCACAATTTCTGGCTCAGTGCCAGCAATGCGCGATCTACGCTGACAATTAATAAGCAAAATTCATTTTTCCTTACTTTGAAAGATTTCTAATACATTAACGACAGTGCCGTCAGCGGTGCGAGGTAGGCAGTCTGGGCCATGTGAATGCGCGCAATATGAGCGGCACACTGAATCCTAATTCTAGTATGAACAATCGCCCCAACTTGTGTTCATAAATTCAATTTAGGCTCGGATAATTTTTTGGCAAACTCCGCCAATGCCCTTCTCAAGGAAAATTTTTTCATACTCAAAGGGCGTAAAAAGGGTAAAACGACCGCGGAACCTATAGCGATTCCAACTTCACCCCGCCCCTAGTCAGGCAAGCTCATCCTTTCAATGGCAAGATCCGCCCACTTAGCAAAATTGCCGGAGTTTATACAAATTCTTAGACTCCAGCAATTTCCAGCTTTTCTATCGCATGGTTGGGGCCTTTCACAAGCGGCGGAATTGCCTTGCCCACTTGCACATATAGATATTACACAGATGCAGCCATAGATACTTGCAGCCAGGCCTCTGGCTAGTAAAAGTCCATGGGAACATCTCGCCCACAGGGAAGACATGTAAAAAATGGCTCGTCGTCAACGTATCAAGAAGCATGCATACTTTCTTCAGCTCAAGTTCTAACTACCAGTCCCTCCGAGGTAACCTTCGTGCCTTTCTCTTCGCCACGGTCGATTTTACAAATTCTGTATTTTCTCCCAATAGTCGCTGTTTTTGTCAGATTTCCTTATCATTACCCTTTCATCCCTCGGTCCACATCAATTTGCAAGCGCAGATATTTTTCAAAGGCAAACTACTGAAAGCATGTGGCATGGTTAGTCATGAGAGGTCCAGAAAGTTCAGAGGCCCTCAGAACATCTAGCTGACTCGTGCTGATCCTGAGTTCAAAGGATTTTTTTTGGAAATGCACAGCACTAAGTTCAAGTTTCTCAGCGACGCCTGGATCCCCGCACATGGACATCTTCTCAAAACAGATCAGACTCGTTGTTGGCCAACTTCCAGCGGACAAAGACGAATGTCACCACTGCCCTTTCGCATCTGACTGTCAGATCGGCAAACATCTCTCATTCTCAGTCAGTTTAGCAGCGATCGTATCCCGTTACACTGCAACTAACTGGTAATTGCGCATTATCAAGCCGATCGCCGATCCTTTTGTTGCGAGAGTAGTCGCACTTAGATGTTCAGCGAGTCAAGACAAACTTGATCTCAAGGCCATTACGCATAGGCAATTTTTCCTGATAGGAAAGAACCCAACTGTCTCAAATGCAATGGCACAAAAACTTCTCCTGCATACGAAACATTAGAACATTTAACATTTTCTATAGCATTCTCAAATTTCCCTAAAATGAGACTATTGAAATTCCGACAGCACTTCCTACAGGAAAACAGTAATTTTCCACGTTTGTTTGTCGCTGAGATATGAGAAACATCAGTAGTGATTATCTATATTCGGCAGCCCCCTGGTATAAAATTAAATCAACTAATACTTAACATCTTTGAGAAATAAGAAAAGAGCGGAGAGTTGTGGAAGAATACAGTTTGATCTCAATGTTGACAAGGGATGTTCTTTGACTTGAAGTGATAGCGACAATGCAGTCTGAGAGCAGAAAAATGCCTCAAACTTTATTTATTTGAACATTTAACCTCTTTCAATCAAGTTTGATTGAAAAATTTCAAAAAACTTCAATCCAACTTCGCTCCATCCTACAAAAAGCGTTAAAGATCTGCTGAGCTCTCACTTAGTGAAAGCAGAGTCGGAATCAGTGTCTCTACAGTCCCGTCATTTCATATGATAATACAGGGTGTTCCCAAAAAAATGTGCCTACTGTTTGATAGTAAATAACTCTTTTGTAATGAAGTGCTTCGAGAAGCTTTAGGTACCGTTTTGTAGAGCGAGGCTGAACTTAGATTTACAGTATGGAGCGAATCATCGATCGCTCTTCATTACTGTAGGGCTACGGTAAGAACTTCCAGCATATGGAACCATTGTGAAATATACCACCAAACAAAATTTTTTTTCAAAAAATCTGAAAAATCGTGTACTAGGGTTTTCGCGCATGCTGATTCCACTTTAAAA